AACTTTCGTAATTCTTCAAGTTCATTTGATACTAGGCAATAAATTGGCCAACTTGTCGATTTGGTCCTAAACACTAATTATATTTGGAAAGAGGCACCTTTATTAAGTAGTACGCCACTAAATAAGTCAATTGGAAAGATATTTTGATATTCATGTATGAATTGTTCTATTCTTTTTATTCATTTGGTTGTTTTTTCTACCATTGGGGCAAGATTTGGAACCACCACATATACTAATTGCTTATGCTATATTTGTTTCTTCATAAAGGTCATTCCTATGAATAAGCTCTTAGCCACAAATGTTTTTGCTATCCTACTCGATACAAGGGTAAAAAAAAAGATATTGTGCATCTTCCATCCTTGAAAAAAATTATCATTATTAATTGATGGACTTGTTTATTCTACACTTCTAGCCATGGCATACCAATGATAATATCATATCTAAGCTTTGTTATTTTGAATTTCTCTTTCAAGGCATAGGTATTATTTAGCCTTAGGATTTTTTTCTTCACTTGTCTCGTTCAACACGTTCTTTCAATCATTTGATAGGTATATACTCCTTTCTTTGATCATCTTTGTTTTAATCCCAAGTTGGTTGGCAATTGCAATTAAAATATAACTTTTTGTAGAACCACAATCCACAAGCACTCAATATCGTTGTCCTCTTAATCGACTTGTTAGTCACATCAATTGACCTATTTGATACTTGTCTGAGGACATGCCATTTGTCTCTAAGAAACAATAACTATCTCCAATACTAACCCTCGGTGCCTTTATTGGAGAGCTCTGTTTTCTTACTCCACTTTTTCATCAACTTGGTGGTCCTCAAGATTTTGAATCCACCATGATTTATTGGTACTTAAACTTTGATGTTTTGGATAATCTCTAATATGATGGTTTGGCTCTCATTAATAAAAACACAATTTCTTTTGTGACAATATTTGTCATCTTTGTGGTGTCAATAGTCTTTGCAAAACATCAATCTCCATCAACTTTGATTATTGCGCTACAGTGTTGGCTAGTGGCACACGACTTTGCCCTATAGGTTGTATTTTACAATTTTTAAAATCTATAATATTGACCTTCTCTGCAATTCTAACTGCCGCTTAAAATGTTTGTGGATCGTTTAATTCCATCTCTCAGTAGACCACTAGTTTCAACCTTTATACAAACCAATCCATCATCTTTGTCTCTTATATGTTGATAATTTGGAGACATAGGGACTTCAATTATGAAATATAATCTTACATTGGCCTAGATTATATAAGATTAGCCAACTAATTGCATGCTAACTTTTTTACATTGATAGGCCAAAATTGATTCCTAAGTTTGGTCTTAAACTCCTTCAAGTCGCCAAATCCACCTTAAGCTCTATAGCTATGAGCTTGATGTTGCCACCAAATGGTTGCTGCATCTCTCAAATAATTAAAAGCATATATAATTCCTTTGCTAGTATTTTCTTAAGATAATTAAAAGTACTGTTGCAAGTTGAAGAACCATTTGCATACATCTTGTCTTGAGGTCCTTCAATATGTATTGGATTTGCTTAATTTTAACTTAGCAAATGTCAACTCTCTTGTGTTAGAAGCTTCTATTTGCCTTTACAAAATAGCTAACAGATCTAAAAGGTGTTATATTTGAATCTCCATCTAGGATTGTTCTATTATATCTCTCATGCTACAATTTCTTTATTGAACTTTGCTATTGTAATGTCTTCTTCTCTTCTAACTGACTTTTTAAAATAGCTTGTTATAGTCCAAAAATAATACCTAATGTGTTCACAATAATTGACTTTCAACTAAATAGTAACTATCAACACACTACTAAAAGACAAACTAACACTTACTTTGATACCAATGAAATAGAATTGAATTCTCTTAAAGATTTAAAATCCTTGTAATCTATAGCAACATAAATTTTATCACAAAGTAGAACAAAAGGAACCAAAATAAAACTAAACAGTCAATTGGAAGAGAAGAAGGCATTACAATAAAACATGAAAAACAAACAAAAAGAAATAAACCAAAATACAACAAAAAATACAAACCAAACTTTACTAAAAAAAAGAGACCAAAGCCATACCTCACCAAATGCCTCAAATGGCTTTAATCAATCCTATTTATATTTTATTCAACCATCTTGGAATTTTTTAGAATATCTCTAATCACGAGCCCCATGAAAATAACCATTCTTTTAAAAGATTCTAATAATGAATTCCACCTAGACAACCACACTTAAAATGTTTCATAATAAACCTTATATGAACCACTAATCTAATCCAAATTCTAAAAACTTTTTTAAATTCTCCAAAAATAACATCAATTATCTATCTTCATATATCAATAATAAATTATCTTATCCATGTTCCATAACACACATAATTAAATTATCAATCAAAATCACATTTTACATTACAATATATAAATACTTCTATAAAAATATTTATATTCATAATCAATAAAATATTTCAAATCTATTAATAAATAACTTATAATTAATTCTTCAACCTAATCTTACATATATTTTTAATATAATATTAAGATCTTTTATTTTAATCACAAAATTAATAAAATATATTATTCAATCAATATTACATTAATATATGCAAAAATAAACCTTATTAAAAATACTATGAAAAAAATACATTCTAATTTATAAAAACCAATGAAAATTAAACAATAAATATTCTACATATTATAATAAAAAAAATTATATTATAATATAAAATAGTTAATTTATTAAAATTATATAATTATAATATCTTTTAATACAACTTCAACTTAAAAATTAAATCTATTCTATTTCAAAATATTATAATTCACAATCAAAAAAATACACTTATGATTCACTACCAATACAACAACCTATTTACTTCTTTACTTTGAATAACAAATATAATTGCAAAAGAAAACACTTCAAAACAAAAACTACACAATCTTGTAGAAATTAATCTCCTAAACTTGCACTCAAGCCAAAATCCATCCAATCCAATACACCTTCACCATACTACACCACACCTTCTTTTAATCAAGTTCATATACCCACCTAATTTCTTATAAAATAAAATAAATCCATTTTCATTATTTCTTAACTCAATTCAGTCAAAATAGAAAATAATGATTTCATCCATATACAATTATTTATTGTCTAGAAATTCTCATCCATAACAAAAGTTCTTCTATTAATAATAATTTATCTTTGAATAACATTTCATCCTTTAATCAATTTTCATCAAACCCTAAGTTCATCCAAATTCGAACATAACGTCATCCAACCAAATTTCATCCAAATATAATCCCATCCACCGTGGGAATTCTCACCTTAAGAAGGACGTCGAAGATGTATGAACAAACAGATCCCAGTTCACACATAGTGGGATAGCGATGGCACAAGGATAGCGATGGAAGTGGCGGCTAAAATCCAAAGCACAACAGTCCACCATTGCCGGAACTTCTCCTCCAGCAGTTGCAATTCCAACCTCCGCTCTTGTCGTTCCAACCAGTTAATCTCCAAGTAACGATCGCGAAGCTCTTCACCATTCAAGAAATCATGCAAGGCAGATAGCACAACTTCCCACCGATTTCTAGGCAGAAAAACAAGGATCAAATTCACAACCTTCTAAGTTCTCTTAAACAATGCGTCTTTGCAGTATACTGTCGAATGGATATGCCGTGGAGCTTGGAGTACAGATGTGTGGAGACAGACAAAAGCACAATAGAAAACTCCACAGCCCGCGGCCTAACTCCCAATTAGCACTTGAATAGAACACAAGAGGATATATAAGACTTGCCGCAAGAAAGACACCTCGGCCCCTGGAGAGGTCGGATAGAACTTCTAACTTGGAACAAGAAGACCTCTTTAGACTCTTCACAGCCACACAGGTTCCAATACCATATTTATTGATTGCTAGTGTAACGGAGAATACCCACTCGGCTAGACTATAAATCGCGGAACAAGCAGAAGAATTCAACTCGCCACTCCATCGATCACTCAAATGCAAGTTACACGAGTTTAAGAAGGAGCAGGAACCATGCAAACGGGACGGAAAGATTAAAGTGATGATGACAATACGGAAGAACGGAAAAGAAAGAGAGACGACACGGGGATCAACAGCTCAGGACAGAACAAAACGAGACGATGAATCAACAAAAACCAGATCAACAGATCAACAACATAAGGGAGGAGAGTCGTGGAAGAGGGGACTTTGCAACCCAATAGGTGTAGTGGCCACCCGCTGTAAAGAAGTGCTGACCACCGTGGAACAGCGAGAGAGAACAACCACCCCAGCTACACCGGCAGGATCAGCTCGGGGGGATTTTTACGACGTGCACACGATGTCGTCAACCACCGCAAAGGACGACACGACAGATCGGGAACAAGACATAAGTCCATGGCGACCGACACCGTCCGACGGCAGCCTGACCTAGAAAGTTCCGGAAGTAATTTGCCCCGATTCTTCCCCTCCAGCTCCGTTGAATACTATCGCTACTCTTTGCTGGCCCTTGAATACCAGAACTAGGGATTGTCATTTTAAACAGCTGAACATACACTTAGTGTGCCGTGCTCCACATTTATGTCCAGGGACGCTTACACAATTGCATATTTTGAACCCAAAAAATTATATGTCTTGATTCATAATTTAAAGCTTCATTACAAGTATCCATACTACTTTCAATTGCTACTTTTTTTTTTTTCTTCTCCGTCTTTTGAAATGCTATTTATTAGGTTTTCAAGGTTAGCAGCATGAAAGCCAGAACACTTTTTCTTCATGGACTGAATACGTATCTTCACAAAGATTGAGGTTTTCACAAGAAAGGGCCACGAGCAGGGGCATTGCAACCAAGGTCTTGACAGCCTTGAGAGTGTACTTTGAAAATCTGCAAGAGTGAGGTATTGACAATCTCTTCAATTTCTCGTTATGAAAGGGGAACCAACAACGTTTCATGAAATGAAACTCCAATGTAAACTGACATAGGTATGTCCGACACTGCAAGACTTCAGTTGGAAAAACTGTACATGTTTACAGAGGACTAGATACATGATTCCAACGAATCGGTGAAAGTCCGTTTCCAAAACCAAAGTGATAACATGTGCAAGTGTTCAGGATTGAAAATTGTTTGCTCATTCTGAAAATTGATACTCAAGCCGCGTAGAGAAAATGGCATCTCAAATCATTCTCACACTAAAACCTACTGAATGATAGACTGCCAAGCTACTGAAAAAGGCAGGGGTCTAACAAACATAAATTCTACTCCACGAGCTTCCAAATGTACCAGGGTTACAACGCACTCGCTGACCTCAGTGATCCCAGCGAATACCTCACCTTGGTTTCAGAGATCTCAAATGGGCTGGCACGGCAACAACCTCCTTCGATCACTCAGACTATTCTCGAACGTTCCAAGTAGGTCGTAAGACACGTCAACTATCGTCAATTATCCACACTCCTCCTGACAGAAGCAAGAACACCACCTTCACTACTCAACTACAAATCCCATTCTACAAAAACCCTGAGATGTATCTTTCCTACATAAATTTAAATAAACAGAAACTATGTCTCTGAAAATAGCTCTCTGGCAGAACATGCAGGGATCAAACAATAAATCAATAAATAAAAAACCATGAGTTGCAACAAGTCCCAGCACACATTCTCCTTGAAAACTTTGACCTTGCTTGGGAAAACGAGAATAGCAAAAAAAATAACTTCTCTACTACAGTAACAGTTACCGCGTCAAATTTCTAAAACATATCTACAACCTCCAATTATAGGTGAATCCTTCTAAACGACGAGTGAGAGAACGGAGGTCAGCTCCACAACCAACAAGCTGAAGGTCAAGAAGTTAAAATGCACCTCAGCTATCGTCAATAAGCCACACTCCTCCTGACAGAAGCAAGAACAACTTAACTTATCTATCAAATCCTTCATGTAAGCAGTGCCCTCGAAAACGTACTACCATGCAAAATAAGAAGTACGATTACCTTAAAATAAACAAGCGTTTAGGGGACTATATTGCAAGTTAAGAAGTGAACACAGGAAGCAATAAACACAAAGGAATATCAACTAGAGAGAAAGTTCTTAGAAGACTTCAAAGAAACTATGGATATAAGCTCCACCTCGAGGTATTGCATGGGTGGAATGAACAACAATGAACAGCAAGTTCTCCTCCAAGGAATCTCATTTGAGAGGTACATCAGGGAAGACATAAAACCAAATGCGTTCAATCTCATAAATCGAGTGAGAACCTCCACATACAGAGCGAGGATACTGTACATGCTATTATCGAATGAACAAACCGAATACTCGTAAGGAACTGAGGAAACGCAAGGGGACAACTCTCACATTCATGTAGAAGGCCGCATCAATGTATGGATTCAAGCGCCCATCACGTGTCATCGCAGTCATCTACACAAAAGTGGAGCATATTGCAGGTATAAGGAAACCAAAAACAGATGGCATGGTTTGTAAAGACTTTCACAAAATTAAATATATTCGAGGAATACTTCCGGAGGACATGAAAAAAATAAAGGAGATGGGAGTCCCCAGAAGGGAAAACATTGCAAGAAACAAGTAAGAATGCAGGAAACTACAATCTCTTGAAAGCTTTGATCGAAAAAGAGTGATGAAAAGATCAACCGCTTTTCCCGTAATGGAAATGACATCGTGTCTGGTTGTTTACGAAAAGAGAATGAGGATGGTCGAACATTAACAAAGACATGAAGAAGAGCTATCACCCTCCGCTTAGTGATCTACAGATCACACCATAGGTTCTCTTAGGTTCAAGCATTGTGATGTGGATATTACGAAAACTTCATTCGTCTGCTACAAGTTATTTGATGCGTATGGAGTGCGAGACTGTACCCAAGTAACGAATCAAATACTGCCCAAAAAATCGCTATGTGTCGTCTTCATCATCTGATGCATGCATCCCCACCATCCCCAACCTTTCTTCATGAGCACAAGCGTCGGTATTATGTACTTAATTGAACCCACTAAATGTCTGAATTCTCACATTGGAACGAAAATAAGCATAAAATTCAACTAAGCATGATATCCTGAGCGTGCAGAATCTGTCGGACTCCAAACTAAAAGGAACTCGTTTCTTACACAAAATCTCGTTATCATTCAGGGACTTGGAAGGGCAGGGCTATGTGATTGATCGAAAATCGATAGAATTGTGTCTGAAAAGGCAAATGAATTAAACAACAATCAAGAATATAGAAGAATTCTAATCGAATTTAGGTGGCAACATCACGTTCTAGTAAGAAAAAATTTACATCGAAGAACAACCGAATTCCTTTCCAGTCGACACCCTATTCACGAAACTTCTTGCCAAGGTGAAAGAGCGCCTTCAAATACTCCCACATGAACCCTCTCAAATGAACGAATTCAAGTAATGCTGAAGCACTTGGAACCTCCCTTATCAGAATAACCATGATTGAAATTTCACAAAACGAATTTGGTTCAGATTTGATTCACCGAGATGTAAAAACGTTTTCCAAGATGCAAAGAGAGAGAAAAAAAAATAATAAATAACATTGCCGGGATCGATGATGGCTGCAATTAGATTTACATTTCAAAATTCCAGGGTGGTCCTTTTCCTGCCTGCGACTACGTACAAGGGAAGAGAATTGCCAAAAGAGCGCACACTACCGATCAGGAGACATACCCTGAAAGAAAGCTCCGGCCGTTGTGCTCAGCTGCGCAACCAAGCGAGACGACGCATTCGCACTGTGCAATGGAAGCAACGATTGCAAGACTGCCATCTCCCCCGGCAAGCTAAAAACCACACAAACGGACAACAACAAACTTATCAACCAAAACACCGATCATCACACATCTAGATGAACCTCCAAAATCCCAAGCGCAACACGTGAAAACTCACGGCAAGGAAAAAATTGAGCATGCAATCGCACCGGAAGAAGTGTAACGCCGGGCGCCGCGTCTGACAGAAGGAGCTCGCGGGCGGTGAGGGAGCGGACGAGGAGGAGGGAGAGCAGGGGCTGCTCTTCCCCATCTTCATACTTCCTCCCACTGCTTCAGCACCGTTCGCCTTGCAAGAGCGCAGCGCAGACCTCGTGGTGGACAGGAAGGACCTGCCCATGGCCCTGCCCACGCTCGCCATCTCCGCCTCCAATTCCTCCTCCTCCACCAACAACAACACGCAACACAACACTAAATCCCTCCCCCTCGTGAATAACTGACTAAATGGCACCACTACCACGATGCTTTCTCTCAATCAATCAATCAAATCCCACACCAAACCAAACCAAACACAAAACAACGATGCTCTCACTCTTTCTTCCGCCCGAGTTGTGTCGGAGGGAAGACCAGTTGTATCTCGGCTTCGGCGTCCGGGGTTTAGTCTCCACGGCTGTAGGCGCTTTAGGGTTTGTATGGTCTCGGGAACCCAGAAAGAGTGGCCTATGACCAGGACGACCGGGATTCAGCGATCACCTGTGGGTTTGTCGAAATTTGCTTTGAATGTGTTATGAGATTTCATGCAACTAGTTGTCTATGTTTTTAAAATAATAATAATAATTTCGACAATTTAATGATATTTTAATTGAAAATCCAGATTACATTTAAATTTTTTTCACTTGCACCAATATCTTCGCATTTATATGTAGTTGATCTCGTTGTTATATATAGTTTATTTTATAATTGTGATTAACAGATTTGGACTATTTGTTTTATTTTTTTACTTCAAATAGAAGAAATAATTTACAAAGAAAATAACGACAGTGGTATTTTGGGTGGATTTCCAAAATGATCGTATCTCAGTTTAAAATTTTTCATACACTAATTAATAACAGGACAACAAAGTTTACACAAATTGTCTATACTGTCACCATCTATTCTGCATTAACAATTGCCTCTTAGAACTTTAAAATTGAAAATACTTAAATGGTGTTGACATCTTAAAGATGTTTTTTTCATGCACAAACAACTTTCACAGCAACTAGAAAACAAGTGACTAATCATGATATCTTTGGCAATTTCATAATCATGATACAATGTTTATTATCCAACTTACATTGAAACCTCATATAAAGGGGTATGGAAAGCAGACACGTAGCCCAGATAATAACACAAGACCGATAGCTACGTCCTAATTTTGAAAGAAAAGTAAACTGCCTTGTACAATTCGTTTTGGTCCTTAGGATATCCTAGTACAAAAATCAGGCAACCTGTATAGATTATAAACTCCATAATGATATCCTAAAACAAAAGAAGGATAAGCAATACATGTCAAGTTGTCTAGTCCTTTGGGTGTAAACTTACGACAAGTTCAGGACCAGTTCTCTAGCTTCTGCCCACAGCGGCATCAACGTCTCTAACGATTCCAGATTGGAAGGGTCTCTTGCTACGTTCTCCAGATAATGGCCCAATGCTTTATATAGCTTGCAGACGATGGAGCCATGAAGAGGCTGGTAGTTTCTCCTCTGCTCAAATGAAGATTCAAGCTCTGAAGAGCGTGCACTCGCTCTTTGTAATATAGATTCTGGCATGCCAGCAAGCCTAGCTACATTTACACCATAGCTCTTTGGACAAGCCCCAGGACACAGTTTGTACAAGAATGTTACTTCCTCGAGCCCACCTTTGGTGCTTGCCACTTTGCACCCCATATGATGCAACGCCACCTACAAAGATCAAGTAGAGAAGGCTGAATATATATATATATATATATATATATATATATATATACGTTAAATATCTTACAAACTCACTCTTCATAGCCTCCATGTCATCTTATCAAAATCACTGCAGGAGTGAATGACAAAAAAATGCACTACCGTAGACTAAAAAAACTTACAGTAGGATCTGTTGCGTGCTCGGTGGCCAGACGATGATAATGGGTAGAAAAGATGCCTCGACACCCAATCGTATTAGTTAAGCCCCACAAAACAGCATGCCTGCAGGGAACGATAGGTCAGTTCTAACTGATAGAATAAAGATTGGAGCCGAAACTTTGCTGCAGAAAACCTTCAAGGACCAAGACAAAGACGTTCTGTCCAGTGCATGTCGACTGTCTCCACCTTTCAGATATATAAGATGTTATTTGAAGATTTATGTTTTTGCAACAACCACATAACTGCATGTCAATAACGCATCAAGCACTTTCGAAGAGACCAAATCGTGAGAAACTACTGCACTGGCTCAGGACTGTTGACCTGTGCGCTAGGCTCTTTATAAAGAACTGAGAGAGATGCCCATTCATTGGTAACTTACGCAATGGCCTGACCATCTGAAGTTGCTGTTCCGCGACCAAGCTCGTCCAAAGCCACCAAAGAGTTCTTTGTTGCAGAGCGCTGTCCAAGAGAAAGCTCAGATGATATGATATTCCTTGTATGTGACTACCGTAAACATCAAGTTTCTAGAAGATTTATATAAGAATAAATAATTCACTTTTACAATTCATCTACTCATTAAATTTACTCACCAGCATTGTAGCCGTTTCCTGAAGTTCAACAAGGAAAGTGCTTTGCCCAGCCATAATATTATCCCTAGCTCCCATTCTAACAAAAACTTGATCGACAGGCGCTAATTGCAACTCCTCAGCTGGCACGTCCGCCCCTACCTGTATCCAGATATGAGGGAGATGTTATTTTCACAAGTGTAAGAAATATCTCTAGTTCCAAGTTAGACCTTCTGTAGATGGAAATAAAGCTCATGTATGTCTAGGTCAGCAAAATTGTATCAAAGAGACCTAAGGTTCGGATTGATACCTGGGCTAGAATAACTGCCAGGCATACTTGTCGAAGAAGAGTAGACTTCCCTCCCATGTTCGGACCAGTCAGCAGCATAAAAGGTGGATGATGCTCTCCACCAAGATTTATATCATTTGGCACGAATGAGAATTCTTGCCCAACTGTAGGATGGCGAAGGCCCTTGGCATGGAACCAAGCAGCCTGCTGCCCACCTTCAGAAAAGGTAGGTGTGCAAGTAGGGCCCTCAGTGTACACACTAGCTGCTGAAATGCTAATTAGCACATCCAACTCTACAAACATCATCGGCATATAAGGAAAGCTCGGGTTAGATCAATTAAAAACGAAAGTGCCAGCAACCAGTCTTATCTCCTAATTTCCTTTCAAAGTTACTAATACCAGAAGATGCTGACGGTTGGTTAACCAAGAATCACCTTAGATGGCTACGACGATCATATTAAAGAAGTACATGCGATATCAGCAGATATTTAAGTCAATACCTGCAATGGTTTGAACAGCGGACAGCCAAGTTGAGTTATATTTACAAAAGTCGCGCACCAAACGCATTAGAATGTCCTTAAGAGCACTTTCTCGCTGCTCTTGTCCAGCAGCAAGCTCTTGTAAAAAGCTCTTAATAGCTGGACTCCAGTACCTCCGATAGCCCTGCCATGAAACTCGGGACATTCAGTCCTCGGTTCTCTCCTTGAGGCATTTTGTGCCATCTCTTCTACTACATCTACGTGGGCGCTTCCGTAGAAACTATCACAAAGGATTTATAATCATCTTAAATGAAGTGTTACATAAATAGAGATGGGCGTTGCATACTACATTTGGGGGAGATGCAGGAGCAGATCAAATCAGTTGTAAGAAAGGGGATGACGTGGTGACAACCTTTCGAGAAGAACGCACTTCAAAATCTCGAGGAACCTTCGCGAGAAATCGTTCAGGCACTTCCATTTGATAGGATTCTTTTCCCACAGTTAAGTACACAACCTGCATTTCAAAAGCCCCAAGCACTCAGAACAATCAAACAATTCTAATAATGAAAACAAAAACAAAAATATTTTATTTATAATAAAGTGAAACAAAATAAAGGAGGAAGGAAGGAAGGAAGGAACAAAAACAAAACAAAACAAAATCACCACAGAATCACGCAGCAATGCTTATCTGGTCTTGTCGCTTTAACTTAAAACCGTAAGAACAGCGGGCACACAAAGATTCAATAGAAGCAGAAATGAAAAGGCTAAGGACATCAGGATAAAAAAAACAACCTCTGAAGAGTTGCCAAAGTGCTCGCGTTGCTCTTCCAAGTAAGCATCAAGCTTACTCTCTACTTCGGAAATTACCGAAGATGCAGCATCAAAGTCACTATCTACACCTTCACGAGGCAGTATACGTCCAGACAATTCCGCTTCAGACCAATCAAATGCTACCTCAAAGTGCTCGATGGTTGATTTCATATCTGGCATACCCTTCCCTGATTGAAAGCACTAATTCAACATTAATCCCAACTCAAACAACTGGCTGAAAATCCTGCATCAAGGCGTGGTGGTCGCGAGCAACTAGGAAGTTGCTGGGTTGTAGTATCATCATCTAGAAAGGAGGGGAAACCAAAGGAAAAGGGTGGGGGGGGAAAGCTTAGTCATGGGTATAAAATATGCTTGGTTACCTACCAAATGTAAGTAAGTCCCTCAAGCGAGTGGATGAAAGTTCCGAAAGACAAGAATCAAAATTTTGAACTGCTTGTAACATTGACCGACACCCCCGCAACACCGAAGTGAATTGAAGCACTTGCTTCTTGCCTACATCCTCGTACATGACCACCTTTGCAGCATTTCTTCCATTGGATCCACTGCAGACCCAAACACCCAAGTTACAATCAAATCTACACTGAGAATCATAGCAGACATCTAATTTAATGGGTCGTGAAATAAGGGATGGCAACAGTGTCACAGGTACACAAGAGGCAAGGGACAGTGACCTTAACACACTAATAAGCTGTTCATCCTCAGTGAACTATTAAGTATTTTCCAACAGTTTAAAGTAGTGTTGAATTCACCTGCTGGCATACAATCGAGCCAGTGCACGTTCTAAGTCGAGCAATCCTCCCAATTCTTTCCTAAAACGAGCAACGGCATCTAATGCCACTCCCTGTCAAACAGCGAAGAGTTTAAGAGGAATAGTCGAAATGACTGCAAACAAATAAAGAAAACAATAAAAAGTAAGAAAATATCACATCACACAGAATAAGACCTCCCCATCTCACCTTCAAATCCTTCACAGCCATCTGGCGTTGTCTAATAGACTCCTCGAGAAGTAGAGGCCTCGCAAGCCACGCCCTCAATAATCGACGACCAAAAGGAGTTACACAATGATCCAGCTTCGCAAGCAATGTTCTGTGACAATAACTACCAATGCATTAGATGGTCGGTCAAATCAAAGATGAATTCAATGATGACAGGCAGGATCAATGCAAAGAAGCTCACCCATTTGTACCACCATCACCATTCTCCAAAACTTCCAGGTTTTCTAAAGCAGCACCATCCAGCACCATGTGAGGCTCAATTCTACGGAAGGCAGCATCCACTCCAGCTTTTCCCTGCTCCACTAACACCTTGCTTTCGGGATCTTGGAGGAGGGCGTCAAAAACTGGAAGTAGCTCAAACCGGCCAACAGCCAACAAAGCTTTATCCAATAAAGCTTGACGCAAATATGTGACACAAACTCCAAAGGCGGATAAAGCCATTTTTCCCTTCTCTCCAAGTCCTTTCACATATCTGAGAACATTCGGCAGTAACTCCTCGTCAGTCAGGTTCTCTTTCGCGTTTTTTGTCGAATCACTCCTAAGGCCGGAGTAAATACTGATAACCTCTTTCAAAGTCTTTTCTGAATCCCATAGATCGCTAGGATTCATTTCATTAACCAGCGGTTTTCTGGTGCAATCACGAAGAACTCGAGAAGTAGCACTAGAAAGGGTACTGCGAGGTAATATCAGCTCCACAGGTCTCAGCTCTGTTAATACCGAACTTAAGCGCATTCTGGCAGGATCATCTTCAAACTGCAAAAGCATGCCACCACGTTAACTTCAGAACCATCCGATCGATTTGCGCCGGCTGAAGACACCAAAGTAAATCTGAAATCGTAACAAGAAAAGCAAAAATGTTAACATACACAGAAAGAAAGGAAAAGAAAGAAACAAAGTGCTGACACCTGGCCCAACTGAAAGCAGCCGGTTGATGAATCGACCACGCAGAGACCAATTAACGGAGAACCGGTCTCTGAAACATGTTCTACAATTGATAACATTGCCATCCCCTCTCCACCCAGACGAGTCAAATCCGCATCCACCATTGTGCCCTTTGTGATCACAGCGCAGACTTCACGCATCACCACCTGCACAAAAACCATATTTGTATCCAAGGTTGCTCTTTGAAACATAAGCCATGAGAAAGTCTTGACGATTAAGCTGCTATTCGTACCTTATCCTTTGAACCAGTTTCTTTCCGTCGTTTTTCCAGCTGATCAGGTGTCTCTGTCTGCTCCACAACAAGAACTCGATATCCCTGCAACATGAAGATTTAAATTACAGAAGTATACTAGGATTGAGCCAACCAGGTACAGTCCAAGACTCGAGGCTTGTAGAGATGCGCCAAACATTAGTAAAAGACAACTTAGTTGCGAAGGTAGCTTCAATGTAAAGGTATTCTCAGGCTCAAAGAAGTAATTTCGATTTAGAGAAACCTCAGAGTGCAGCAGCGAGAGAGTGAGCGAGAGAGGAAAGCCTGGTAGAACATGAGTGACAATCATGTAGGTACCTTGAGAGCCAATTTGTGTGCATTGTCCGAAAAGTTCTTCTCTGGAAAGCCGCAGTGCGGTTGCTCACCCTGAAACAATTAAGATAGGATTGGGTTTTAATTTTTTTCCTTCCAGAATTAGCCAGAGGTCATTGATAGTATTACGTTGCCACATGGCGATCTGGCAGAAGTTTTTTTTAATTTTCTAACTTTGACAAATTTCACTTGGAATATCACAATTTGAACCTTCACGTCAATGTACTAAAAAAAAGAGCAGTCAAAATAATGTAAACCTTCATATACTGCAAGTCCAGCTCCTTCGCACCGATATGTGCATCCATTTCAAACATCTCATAGAATTTTCCCATCTACAGAGAGAATTGATCCAGCTGTCAATACACTGAACATAGCATCTTAAGATCTAGCAACGATTTCTTGACACGAAAGTACTTTCTTTACTGCGGACATCCTCTAGTTACAATGCTGACAATATATTCTATACCGCATCATGTAACAATACCTCATTGATACTAGATGCAGATGGACAGATTATGTGAATGAAACATGGACTTCATAAAATAACATCATGACATGCACTTAAATAGAAGACTCGCTATATAACAATATGCAAGATACAGGATCCTTAACTCTGAGCACATTCATAAGTACGACCTACCTTGAACAGCAGAACTTTATCCATGTGTTTGGCTTTAAACATCCACCACTGGCGCTGCACATGCCACCATAGTACATTCGATTAAACACGAATTCAAGGAGGAACACATAAAATAAAAATAAATGAAAAAAGGAAAAAAGGAAAAATGTGACATGAATAAACATTTAGAAGAGACTGTTGAAGGGTAAGTTCAAGACACAAACCACTAAGACATACCTGCCCTCCTGAAAGTCCTTTTATAAAATCTGCTGGAAGGTGTAGAGTGCAAGGATTGTAAGCAGGATCAGTGGGCTTTCTACCAGAAGCATCCTTGCGGTCCCTGCCACAACGATCGACAGTAATTCCTTCAAAATTGTGATACCAAACAGTAATGTGAGAACTATTATCGTAATCCCATAGGTAAAGAAGGCTCCTCACTCACATGGAATGAACTTCATTACTTAAATGGCACGGAACATAACATCTGGGACATAATTGAACTAAAAACTATACAATCATGGAGACTTCAGGTGGATGTCATTGGGTCGTGACAAAATCGCAATGCAGGTTAAACGAAACTCCTACATACATACATGGCAGGTGCTGGTACACAACAAATAAGAGCAGTATTACAAGATAGATCTGGAATTATGTACTGCGTTTGAACACTGAGACATTAGCGGCAAGCGTAGAGATAAAAACAAGCATGTAAAAACAGGACAAAAAACGGAGCAACCTACTTCCCAAGAAACTTGAACTTCTCTGAATCACGCCCACCAAATCGCTCGGCTGCTTCTCCCGCCAGCGGAGACGGGTCACCTGAGCGCAAGCGAGTTCAAGCAAACATTAGGTAATTCAGCATGCAGGATCACAGTTGAAAAAGCAGCATGCAAGAAATGCGAAGTAAAATGGAAGGATAGTTGAAAGTAAATGGAACAGCAAGCGTCAGAGGCGAAGATTCAGAGTGCAAATTACAAGATGTACATATGTAAACGATTGTTTTCCCGAGTTCACGCGCATTAATAACTCACTTGATACAATGCCATTCGAGAAACTTAGGGATGTTTCCAACCGTCCAGAATTGAGAGTGGTCGCTCCTGAAAGTCCCTTAGCCAGTGAAGAACCTTTCAGAGCTGCAGATCCCTTGCCAACGCTCAAAACTGGCTGGCTCAATTTCTTTACTCCCCGTCCAGTAGTCTTCTTGCTTGAGCTTGAAGGAGGATTTTTCTTAGGTTTCTTCCGTGCTTTACTGTCAGAATCACTCTCTTCCTCGGGTTCATTGAGTTCATCGTCTTCATCATCATCTTCAACTTCTTCTTGTTCACTTTCTTTACCCTCACTAGACTCAACATGAAAGTCAGCATCATCATCATCATCATCATCACCACTACCCTCATCAGATTCTACTATGCTCCTTAGTTGCCGCCTACTTCGTCCCCGTCTTGGCCTGCCTTCCTTCTCTTCCTCCATCGCAGCTGTTCCGCCAGCTGATTCATCTCCAGTGCTTGAATATCCCCTGTTGGATTCCGAATCGGAATTCGCACCTTCATTCAAACGACGCTTAGGTCGCTTACGTCCACCACCATTCTCTACTGTTTCAGATTCTGAAAGCCACTCCACTTTCTCCTTAACGATATCGACTTCTTCTTCTTCCCCATCATCATAAACGATCACATGCGTTTCTTCGTTCTTATTGTAATCTTTTACTCGACCCGCGTACCAGGCCTTGTCCAAGGGCCAATAAACCCTCAATCTCCGTCCGATCACTGACTTTGCGGAATCCTCCACAGCTCCACGAGGCGCAGAACCCATACGCTCTCGAGCCGACGAAATTACCAAAGAATCTGAATCTCTACGATCCTGAACTTTTTTCAATCTTCTTCTCTTCGCGGGCGTGGCTTCGACTTCATGCAATTCATCATTAGCTTCACCCTCACCGCCAATTGTCTTCGCGCCTTCCAGCACAGCTTCGCACTGCCCGACCTCAGCAGCAGCCTTCCTCTTTCCAGGGGTACAAGTAATCCCCGAATCCATATCAAGTTTTTTCTTCTCCTTCACAACAGACTCCTTCGGCGTTTCGGTATGCCCTACCTCCAGTCCACCTTTCTTCTTTCCATCACTCGCTTCAGGCAACGCCTTCCCAGGACTCTTGGTAAAAAACGATTTGATAGAACGCTGAGGACCGCTCTTTACAGGCGTCTGCTTATTCGCCGGCGCCATAGATCACCACTCAGCAAACAAATCACTTCCTCGCCAATGCCAGATCTCAGTCCCTCAAGTCAAGACTAGGCAAGCCTTCCGATCGCAATGCAGCACCAATTCAAGCACACAAAATCCTTTGTCAGATGAGCGAAGACACCGCCAAGAGCGAAGAAATCACGTGAGGGTGGAGCGGAAGCAATTGACCACCATCTTGCACACTGCACTGCGCCGGTGACCCTATACGGCAAGCTCAGAGCACTCGTTGAGTCGTAGAGCTCAACAACACTCTAGAGACCTACACAGGATTTGAATTCCCGCCGCAAACGAACACTCGCCTTGGAATCGTCGACATAATTGGCGGCTTCATGGCTGCTGATGACCATTCGGGGCGGAATATTTTTAGCCTGGTGACCGTGGCGGTATTAAGAGCTGTGCACATTATCCTCGGTCATTCGTGACTTCTGCCCTTCGTCCTTGGCCATAGGAGGTGCCAGTCCGCGGGGACTCATACCCGTGGACCTGGTGTCAGTTTCTGCTTGATCCAACTCACACTCCAAGTGCTTCAGAATGTAACAAATGAAGAATGAAGATATATCAAAATCAACCCTAAGGAATATAATAAAAAATAATTAAAAATATTTATCCTTTTATTTTCTTTTACCTGATAAAGAGTGGAAAATGTTACTTCAAATTCAAATTTGTGTCTTCTATGACAACTGTGTGCAGAATTTGATGAAAAACATTTTATTCTCAACTGAAAATCTGGAACTATACAAATTAGCAGTCCAACACTTTTCGAATCAATTCCTATTTTTTATGTCTCATTTTATGATTTCATACCTATATGCTTAACCTAATAATTTAAATCAATTATTTTCAATTGCAGCATACATGGTTAGTAGCCTATTTTTAATTTTTAAGATTTCTTACTAATCCATTTTTTTTCTTTTTTAATACAGTTTCATTCAAGCCCCAAAATCATGTTTTACAATTAATATTATTAAATAAATTTCTTTGAATTCTTTAAAATCAATAAATATTACCTTCAAAGAATTAGAAAATAAGTTTCAGCTATTTTTAAACAAGTGTATTCTCTCTTCCAAACAACAAAAAATGGTGGAAGGTATTGACATTATTTTATATATATATATATATATATATATATATATATATCATTATTATACATTTACAACAAAACATTGGTAAATATGTACAATCCAATAGAAAAATGTAAGAGAATTTTTGATAATTCAAATTTCAAATGTTATTTGTGGCATTAGAGCTAAGAATTCACTATGGGTTAGAGTCAACATATTTCTCAATAGTTTAATATGTATATATATATATATATATATATATATATTCATGACTATATATATACTAATTATTATTATTGTTGTTGTTATTACTACTAATACAATTATAGATCATGCTAGGTTTTTTTATTTTTATAATCTATGTCATTGTTAGTTACACTATGTGTTAAAAGAGTGTTTATGTATATATATATATATATATATATATAAAAAATTCCTATTCAATAATAATTATTTAACTAGTATGTAAATGGTTGACATTTAAATATTGTCAATAGACAACTTATAGCCGCTATAAGTTGGTGGTACTACCATACAGATATAAATAGCCTAGACAATAATTATTTTTAAATCAAATGAACCTTGGTGGTAAGCTATTGTTAATGTCTTTGCGCCAAAAGGTTGTTGTCATTGAACTACAACCTTTTGCTATAAAAATCTAAAGTTGAAACTCACTCTGCATAGTTAGTTCTTTTGATGTACTATTACTATTGAAGACATGAATCATAACCAAACTCTAAAGAAATAATTCATTTCTTTTGCAATCAAATAAAGAAAATAGATAAATTAAAATTAAATATAAGATAGAAATTAGAATGGCTATTTTCAAATACAAAAGACTAGAGATTCTTAAATATAGACAAGAATGCAAGAAAGACAAAGGTTTTACATTTATCTCCATATATACTATTTGGCTAATAAGCTATGTGGCAATATTTTATAAGTCATCTAACTTGTGTCTAATTTGTGGGATATGTGTTTAAATTGTAAGACAAGTTTCCAACATGGCCAACTTGTACTACATATTGTAATCAAATGTTGAGAAAGTCCAAAATGCGGCAAATTATAATTGTTGCATACTTTGATATTTGTTCTATTGAAAGATAATTGATGGATCATCTCAACCATTAATAGTTATATATATATATATATATATATATTATTTTAAAAGATGATGGAAATCATCAAATTAGATTAGTCTAATACATCATTATGAGAGAGTATTAAAAGATACATATATAACTCCTATTGAATATTATGTGTTTGATTACTATATAGATTGTTGACATTGAAATATCACCACTTACAACTTGTAGTTGCCATAAGTTGGTGGTACTACCATATAGTCATAAATAATAATGCCAATCTTAATATAATTTGAGTGAATATATATATATATATATATATATATATATAATTTGATTTTTTTTTTAAAAAAAAAAAAAACACACACACACACACACAAACTTAAATTGTAAAATCTCCAAAAAAAAATTTAAGTACAACCTTATTTGTAATATTGCAAAACAAGTTGTTTGGTTCAACCTTTTACCATTAAAAATACTCATAAATTTTGATACTTATCCTCCTAAAGTAAAATAAAAAAAATAAAAATTTGTGAAGAACTTTAAAAAATATTTTAAGAAACATATTTTAACTTTTTACAAAAAGAATCTGCAAGCTGACCACATAGTCTAACTTTGAATGCATTAACAAATTATATAAAGATTGCCATTGCTTTATTAGATTGACGGTTTTAAAAGAAAAACATATAATATATATGTGTATATATATGTGATGTATATAAACATATATATATATATATATATATATATCCAATCAACCGGATATTATTCTCACTGAGTCTTTAGGAAAGAAAACATTTCAAAGACACAGATTAAATCTATAAATTTAAAATCAAGCTTTAATTAACACTTTGATTAATAGTTTATTGTTTTACAGAAAAACGTACAAGAATTACCAAAATATATAGAGTTTGATTTTTGATATCAGAGAAATGAAAAAAATGAAAAAGAATCTAAATTCTAATAGAAACATAAACTAACATGTGCATTACATTTTAAGCAATTAGTAAATTACAGTAAAATGATTGAATATATTTTTGGGTATTGTTTAATTAGTCATTGCTAAATTTGAAATAAATTAATGAAAAAAAGGAAATTTTCAATATTTGATATATTAACGTAATTAGAATATCAATAAATTTTGTGAAAAAATAACATAAAATATTAACCAGACAAGAGTTACATATATATATATATATATATATATATATATATATTAAAAATTAGTTAGATTTTTTTAAAATGATTAAGGGATTACTATATATATATATATATATATATTAAAAATTAGTTAGATTTTTTTAAAATGATTAAGGGATTACTATATATATATATATATATATATATATATATTAAAAATTAGTTAGATTTTTTTTAAATGATTAAGGGATTACTATATATATATATATATTAAAAATTAGTTAGATTTTTTTAAAATGATTAAGGGATTACTGTATATATATATATATTTTTAGATTTTTTTTTAAAAATTTTGTTTTACATCGAACTAATTTTTATAAAAATAAAGTTTTGATTATTGCTTTTATTCTTTCTTTAATTTTATCTAATATGGTTTCAATTTCATAACTATTAAATTTTAAGTTAACCAAAATTTATAGTTACTAAAATCATTCTTAGTGAAATTTAAAGACACAAATTAAATTTTAGTAGTAGGAGAATGTTGTAATGATTGAAAATGTGTTATGGCATACTTAACATAAAAATAAGTATACTAAATGAATTATTAAAAAAAATAAAAACTAGATATTAACTTCTAATGTATTTTTTGATCTCTTGTGTAGAACATCATTGATAATTTTAAGAATCTGAGAACTATCTTGTATTTGGTTAGACAAATGGTACATGTGTATAATCTTATTAAAATTGAAGCATAGAATTTTTTTGCACAATCAGTTCATATTTACTATTGTTTTCAAATAAATGCAGGAAAATAAATTCAGTAAATGAAAAATACTTATTTTAATTTAAATTTTAAAAATTTATGTACTTACACGAACTTCTATTTATTTATTTTCTTCTTCCTCTTCTTCTTTCAGAAATTTAAGTTTATTTCAGTAATTTTCCAGAAAAGTAAAACCTATTTAAAAAAAAAACTGTTTATATTTAGTGTAAAAATATGTGTGTATATATATATAAATACAACCTTTGAAATTTGGATTTCTAATTAATTGAACTGCAGAAAACTTTCATTTACTTTTATGTACTTCAAGTAAAGTACTATTAAAAGATTCTTTTTGAGTAGATAATGGATTTTTGCCCATCAATTCTAATTCCAAACACTATTGCCAATTAGTTCATATGGAGTTGTAATTAAAGGATGCTTCCATTATTATTATTACTACTATTATTAGTTTATCATATTTTTGTTGGGTTAAAATGATTTATTGAAGACAATGACGCACCTAATTAAGTAAGAGATTATAAGTGCAAGATGGGTGGGCTTACCCAATATTTTTCCCCTCACAAGAGTGTGGTAAATGAGATTTGTGACATCCATGGGAAAGAAGGAATAAGGGGCAAATGCCCTCCTCCTCTCCCATTCCACACTCTCGTCCTAAGGGATTTCCGTCCGTCTGTGCGTCAGAGGAGACGGAGGAATTGACGGAGGGGAGACGAAACCCTAACGAGGGTGGGGGAGCGGCGAGAGAGTGCGACAGGGCTGGGGGGAGACAAAGCGGCCGTAGCGCCACCATTGTGTTCTCTCTTTCACTTGCGTGCCCTTTGCTTCGCAGGCAGCGGCTCCGGTGCACCATCCCCTACCCCCCCCGGCCTTCTTCCCAGGGGCTCATCACCTCTGCAGTAGCCATGTCGTTCACCGCGCGCAGGAAGATCCAGAAGGAGAAAGGGCAGGAGCCGGACGAGTTCGAGGAATCCGTCGCCCAGGCCCTCTTCGATCTGGAGTCTACCAACTCTGAGCTCAAAAGTGAGCTTCGCGACCTCTTCATCAATTCCGCGAAGGAGGTTGATGTCTCCGGAAACCGCAAGGCCGTCATCATCCATGTGCCTTACCGTCTGCGCAAGGCTTTCCAGAAGATCCACGCTCGTCTTGTCCGAGAGTTGGAGAAGAAGTTCAGTGGGAAGGTGCGTTGTGATTATGGGATTTAGGTCAGGGGCCCTGTGGGTCTCGAAGTTGTCTAGGTCTTCTTTTATCGATTGTCTTTCGATGATGTGACGTCCACGTTATCATGTAGGGTTGTGTACATTGGGTTCCTGCCTCCATATTCATGTTGTAGTGTGTATAATTTAGGTAGTTTCATTGCACACCGTCAATTCTGTCGCATAGTTGGTGCATTGAAACTCAACTTTCACTATTTAAGTCAATTGCTTTTCTGAAGCCCAGGGATATTCACTACAGTCCATTTGTTTAGTGCACCCAGGTTACTGGAAGTACCGTCACAACAATTTTGTCAAATAGTTCGATTAGGGTTTTCACGAATGCGATGATGGCTTTACCCCTTCACATCGCATGAGCATATGTAATTGAGAAATAGGTCTGATTTTGTATTGAGAATCGATTTTCCTTCTTTGTTTCGCAGGATGTCGTGGTCATTGCCACTAGGCGCATCTTGAGGCCCCCCAAGAAGGGCTCAGCTGTGAACAGGCCAAGGAGTCGAACTTTGACCACCGTTCATGAGGCCGTTCTTGAGGATCTGGTCTACCCCTCAGAGATTGTGGGCAAGAGGGTGCGCTATCGTTTGGATGGGTCTCGCATCATGCGTGTGTACTTGGACCCCAAGGAGCGCAATACCACTGAGTACAAGTTAGAGACTTTTGCCGGAGTGTACAAGAAGTTGACAGGAAAGGAAGTCACATTTGAGTATCCTATCCAGGAGGCGGCTGCTGCTTAAGTATTTCAGAGCGTGTGATGGCTGTATTTGGATCGCGCATAGTCAGGGATCAGACCATGTGCAACCAATTAAATCTTGTAATCTTCTGAAATGGCAGTGCAAAGGAAGTTCTGCGTCAATTTTCTATAGTCCACTTTTATGCGCTCGATATCTTAACAGTCTTCCCTGAAAGTGGCTCTGAGTTATTCAATGTTTTGTCCTTCTGCTGTTGCCGGCTTCGGTCAGAAGTCCTAGGTCTCTTTTTTTAATTCCATCAGAACGTTTCCTTCTCATGTGCTGGTGTCTGGAATTGATGGGGCTTCTTAAGTGGCTTGATTGATTTATTAACCATGTCATCAATAGTCTTGGAACTGAGCTTTTACTGATCTACTCCTATGATTGCCAACCGTGTTTAACTGGTGAGCCTTCAGTTGTTCCATTCAGTTGAACCATTGGCTTCTCGATCTACACCAAATATGTGGGCTGTTATTTATGATATAGGCAAGGAAACACGGCTATATTGCTGTGTCCGGTGAGATGTATGCAAGTAAAGGGCGTAATTGCTGCATTGAACTTGTGCACTTATGAATTACCAGTAAGAAATTCCTTTTAGTTTTGTGTTTGTATGCATGACATTGTTTATGTACAGTCCATGTTTATAATATGTGCATTGATGTTTTATACGAGTATCCGTCTCTGTGTGTTTGGGAAATTACACTGAAATCTTTATTGTAATTGAAAATAACTGCATTAAGTCGATTCTGTAGATGATTTGACATTTTGGCGAAACTTAAAGTAACTCCTGCTACTGTAACTCAAATCAGTTCAAGATTTGTTGCATGTAGAATTAGCGTCTATCGATGACAAACACACACAGCCAAGCATCGGTTGCGTTGTTTTGAAGGTTTCGTTGATTACTCCATCACTGATAACTTAATTGTTGTGTGTTCTTTCTACAAGTGTCATGTAGTGTTACTGATTTGTCGACTTAATGAAGCTTTGTTATTAACCTTCCAGAAGTGACTGCCAATTGATTTCAATAACTTGGTAAATTTTATGGTATTTTTAATTTCGAATTTGCCATGATGCCCTTTTCAGAAGCATTTCAATTTACTCACTTATTCTGTTGTCTTCTGCATCAATGTAATTCATACCGTTCCCATACTTTCGTAAACTTGTGTTATTTAACCGTCATGTTCTGACAGTGATTTTAACATGTGATGTATTAAAAATGATGGAAAATATTACTAATTATGTAATATTAAAATGGTATAGAATTGAGTAGTATATTTTGGTTTTTATGAGTAATTCTTTGACTCTAATATTTACAAATATATACATACATAAATAAATATATATCTATATATATTAAAATGACCCATTCTTTTACTAAATCGTGCCACCCCATTATAACCATCATCTCCAAAAACCATCATTGCAATCATGGCCCTCATCTCCACCCCCCTTGTTCCCAACTCCAGTTCCTTCCATTCATAGCCTTCTTTATCCAAGAACCTTTTCTAGCTCTCATCTCAACCCCCTTGTTTCCTCTCATTTTCAACAATAGAGTGGATTGATTTAGTAAATGGGTGGGTCATTTTAACATTTCTCTCTCTCTCTCTATATATGTAGTTAGTTAGTTGGTGCTTCTTCTATTAATTAATATCATTTGTTGCAAAAAAAAAAAAAAACAAAAAAAAAAAACAAAACAAAACAAAACAAAGTATTAACTTTAAAGGTTTACTATTCATCAAAGGTGGAAATCAGTCGTGTTAAACATAAAGTTTTAACTTTAAAGGTTTACTATACTTGTGATAAGTCTTCACTTCTACATGTTTATTGTAAGACTGTTGAAGAGCAATATTGATTTCAAAGTATAAATCCATGAGTGACTTACTAATCAAATAAAGTATACTTGACTTAAAGACACTTGGCTTTTAAAAAAAGATTAATTCTAAACCTAATCAAATCAAGAATATCAAGTTTTTTTTTTTTTTTTTTTTTTTTTTTTTTAGATAAATGAGATATATCTTTAGAATTCTAAAATCAAATATAATACATAAAAATATTTAAATGTATAATTTCTAAATAAATAAATATATATATATATATAATTCAGTGATTAACACTATCATATTGAACATTTTTATTTTAAATGCATTTGAATTTTGCTTATTTTTAAACTTGCACCTTGCTTTCTTCAAAAAATAATTTATTCTTGTAATATATAACTTTGAGTTATGATGTACATAATATAAAGAATTATGGTGTAATTCTATATTTAAAGACTCTAAAGAATATCTAAGACAAAGGAAACATGTGCTTTCTAAAATAATCTTAGAATATAAATTTATGTTTGTACATATTCTTAAAAAAACTCAATAATAAAAGACAAACTTATGTGAAATTTTCATTCAACTAAAATTTGACCTTTAAATGTATATAATTTAAATTTTATAGTATTAAATATTATTGTTTTAAAGATTAATGAATCAATTTTTTTGCTAGTACATAATATTTAAAACTATTATCATTCTTACAAATAATTTTAATTTTATAGAAAAACCTTTAAAAACTTGAATATGCAAAAGTAAATTTTTTTCTTTAGATTTTTTATTTTTATTTTTATAAAGGTTAAATTATATATATACACACATACACATACTATATTGGCTATGGACTTGTGCCTACAATTTGAGTAAAATAAAAAGATGGTTTAGGAATTAGTATTGAAGAAATAGAACTTTGAAGTCACAACACATAGTATCAACAAGGTTGTATACAAGGAGAGTATGGAGTAAGATGTCTCTCACTTCCAACACCCAATATTTATAGGTTGTGGTTGCTGCCTTACAAGACAACTTCCACTCATTGACTTTTACACACATGATCCTTGGTTCTAAGATCCTTTGGTATCTAATGTACCTCGAGGGTATTCTATGGTCCTTGAATCTTTTGGCATCTTACTAACCACAAAGGTATCCTATGTCAAATACTAATTATTCTTATCTAGTCTTTAAATATTCTCTTATTCATACTTTATCCTCTTGACTTGGACTCTTGGTCCTTGACCTCATCTTATATCTATAGGATGCCCTTTCTATGCACCAAGAGTCAACCCTTTGACCATTAGCAACTTATGTAAGATAATATCCTCTACAAGGTAACTTATTTTACTTTCATTTTTACTTCAATACTCCCACTTTGCTATTGGCGAAAAGACTTTCAATCCTAATGCCTTTGTTAATATGTGGTGCCTATCTTTTACTAATGCCTTTGTCAACAAATCAACAAGCATGTCTTTTGTTGCACAATACTTTATATTAATCACTCCCATTTTAATCTTTTCTCTTATGAAGTGATGTTGAATGTTAATAAACTTAGTCCTTAAATGATGCTTTGGATTCTTTGCAAATGCAAGACATCCTTGGTTCTCACACTTCATTGGAGTTGCTTCCATTTGCACATTTCCAATGTCCTCCAAAAGTTGTCTTAGCCATATTGCTTCCATTGCACCATAGCTTGCTGCCATGTACTCCACCTCCATTATTGACCTTGCAATTGTTGGTTGTCTTCTACAATTCCATGAAATTGCTCCCACTCCAACAAAGAATACATATCTCGTTGTTGACCTTCTATTATTTGCATCTCTAATCCAATCTGCATCACAATAACCATGCATAGTAATGTCATCACCTCCAAGACATAATTTGAAGTTCAAAGTACCTTTTAAGTACCTCATGATCTTTTTGATGGATTGGTCCAGCCTTTGACCATCAAAATTAATGGATTGGTCCAGCCTTTGACATGTGTTGACTCACAACACTCACCACATCTGCAAGTTCTATCCTTGTGCTAACCATTGCATATATTAGTGAGTCTATTGTTGCCTTGTATGGAACATCTTACATTTGTCCTTCATCTTCAGCAAACTCTTCTTCCGTGAGCTTCATCAACTTTAAATTGGCATCCAAAGATGTTCCAATAGGCTTACACTCCTCCATATTGAATTGTTTCAATACTTCTTCAATGTACTTACTTTGGCTCATTGTAATGGTCTTCTTAGCACGATCTCTTATAAACTCCACTCCTAAACAATTGTGAAGCTCTCCCAAATCACTCATCTCATACTCTTTTTTTAACTTTGCCTTCAACCAATCGATCATCTTCATAACATTGGTTGAGAAGATCAAATCATCAACATATAGGATGACAATCAATATGAACTCATTTGATTGCATCACATATAATGAATGATCAACTTCACTCCTTACAAACCCTTCATTTACAAAGAATGTATCAATACGTTGGTATCGTGTCCTTCAAGATTGCTTCAGCTTATACAAGGATTTCTTCAACTTACAAACAAGGTATTGTTTTCCATCTTCAACAAATCCTTGAGGTTGATCCATGTAGATGTCTTCTTCCAACTTTCCATTCAAGAAAGCTGTCTTTACATCCATTTGATGCATCTCCAAGTCCATTGCTACTTCAATTGCCACAATAGTTCTAATGGTGGTGAATTTGGCCATAGGAGAAAATATCTCATTGAAATCAATTCCAAAAACTTGTGAATATTCTTTGGCAACCAACCTAGTCTTGTATCTCACAACATTGTCCATTGTACCGCTTTTGGTTCAAAATACCTACTTACAATCAATTGAAGATTAATTTGATGGAAGTTGAGTCAATTTCCATGTTCCATTGTCCATGAGTGATTTTTACTCTTCTTCCATGACATTCTTCTACTTCATAGCATCCGTGGACTTTATTACATCACACAAACTCAATGAATCAACAAGGAGTGCAACATTGACATGTTCTTCACTTACTTGAAGAAAGATATAATTCTTCTACTATGTACCAAGATGTTTTTGATCTCTTAAAGGACATCTCCTTTCACTTGATGAAGATTCACCTTCATGCACTCCAATAGCTCTTGCAAACTTCTTTTTTCTTAAAAGTTGTCTCTTCACACTTAAAGGTTGGTACTCCTCATTACCATCATCATCTTCAACATCTTGATTGTCTTCATTACTAGTTTTAGCAATTGTAGGCATCTTATGATCTACCTTCTTTGATTCTTCATCTTCATTTGAAATTCCACCATTTTTACTATCATCATCATCTTTTTCTTCTTTCATTGCTGGATTTAAAGATGTGTCCACAAATACACCATTACTCCCACTTGGATACATCTCTAAGTGCTCACAAGTACTCTTGTGCTCCAAAAACTTTATATTACGACTTGTAATGATTTTCTTGGTTTCTAAACACATGAGCTTATATGCTTTGGTACCTTCACAATTCCCAACAAATATACATTTTGTTCCTTTTGCATCAAGTTTGGACTTCATACAATCTAGTTTCTTCGCATAAGTAAGGCATTCAAAGATCTTGATATGTGAAATACAAGGTTCTTTGCCACTCCAAGTTTCTTGGAAAGTCATTGATGTGAGTGCACTTGTTGGACATCTATTCCTTGTATACGCTGCATTGACCACAGCTTCTACCCAATATTCATGCCTAAGATTTTATGCATGAAGCATACTCCTTGTCATCTCAATAATGGTATGATTTGCTCTTTCAGCAACTCCATTTTATTGTGGAATGTAAGGAGTAGAGGTTTGTCTTGCAATGCCTTGATTTCTCAAAAATTCATCAAAATGCTTTGACATGTAGTCACCTCTATTGTTCGTTCATAATATTTTTATCTTCCACTTACATTGCTTCTCCACAAGTGCCTTGAATTCTTTAAATCTTGAGAAACACTCATTCTTAGCTTTAATAATGTATATCCACACCTTTCTTGAAAAATCATCCATAAATGTTACAAAGTGCCTTACTCCTCTAATTGATGATTTCTTCATTGGTCCACAAACATCAAAATGAATCATCTCCAATAATTTGCTTGTATGTGTTGTAATTCCACTTGGACATGAAGCCCTTTGTTGTTTGCCTTGGATACAACCTTTATAAGCAAGTGTCATAGTATTGTGGCTCAATTGACTAAGATCCAAGCCACTTACCATAGATTGGAGCTCTTTCATGCTTCTGGCATTCAAATGACCAAGTCATTAATGCCAAATGCCAAACTTGTCTTGATTTTGTGAAAAATCAGCATATACCCTCACTTCAATTACATTTACCTTCTTACAATTAATGAAGTAGAGATTGCCATCTCTAAGGCCTTTGGCAACATATTGTCCATTTAATGTCTTTTCAAAACACTCATCTATGTCAAATTGAACTTTACAACCATGTGATACAAGTTTGCTCATTGAAAGAAGATTCTTCTTCATCTTTGGCACATGTAAGACTTCCTTCAATCTGATCCTCTTGATTTAGTCCTTCACTACAATTTCCACTACAATGGAACCAATTTCAATGGCTTACACCATGCTATTATCTCCTAACCATAATTTTGTTGTTGGAATTCCTTCATAAGTGTCAAATGAACACTTGTATGGTGTCATGTACTTTGTGGCAATCGAATCTATAATCCACTTAGACATGGTAGCCATGGAGGCTCCTTCACTTGCCTTGAAAGTATAATCATCTCCACTAAAACTAACACTAGTATTATTTGCATTTTTCCTATCTCTTCTCTTGGTCTTGTAGCAATTTTTAACAAAATAATCTGATTTTTCACAAATATAGTAATTCCTTATCTTGTTTTTTGAATTATCACGTTGGTGTGGAAAGCTACCTTTGCCTTTTCTTGAGAATAGAGCCGAATCATTATTTTGAAGCTCCCTTTTTTTCCTCTTGGTTACTTCATATACAAGTCTTGATGTGACATAATTTATGGTAAGCTTCTTCATATTGATAGACTCCAATACCACAATGATGTAGTTGTAGGACTCGAGAAGGCTCATGAGTAATGTCAACACAATTTCTCTATCATCAACTCGTGTGTCAACAATTGCTAGTTGGTTTGCAAGTACTTTTACCTTATTGACATGAGCCATGAGGTCATTTCTTTCTTCCATCTTTATTGTTATGAACTTCCTCCTTCTCCATAGAATATTACCAAGGTTTGTACTCTCATAGATGTTGCAAAGAGTCTTCCATGCTTCTGTTGGTCTATTACAAGCAATTACATGTGAAAAGTTGGCATCATCAAGATTTGTTGTAATTATGCCAAAAGCCTTTGTTTCACGTTGTTTATACTCCTTCTTCACCTTGACATCAACATCATCACTAGGAAGCTCTTCACTTTCATCAACAATATTCCAAAGGTCCAATGAAGCCAACAAAAGCTCTATTTTCTTCTTCCAATGGTAGAAATTGTCACCTCTAAACTTCTCAATCACTCTCAAACCCTCACCCTCACTTGAAGCCATGTCTAAAGAAGGGGTGTATCAAAGAAAATCAACAAAAGAGAAGATAGAATTCTCAAAATCAACAAGAAGGTGTTGTTGCTTTAGAATCCCAAAATGCCCTCTTTGTGAGTAAACTAATGATTTTATTCTTTGATCACTCTCACCTTCACTTATAAGACTTCTCACAAGTTTTACATACTATCAAAACCTCTCTTACAAGCTTTGCCACTCTTTTATCACCTCTAATGTCTCATAACACCTCTTTTGACTATAAGAAGATCTATTAGGAACTTAAGTACATGAAAGTTCAATGTTAGTGTATCAATAAAGTAGATGAGCAATGAAAAACACGGATAGTGTTCTAAAACAACATTCTAAAGTGTATAACAATCTCTAAGACCATGAATGCACTTAACAACAAGTAAGAACATAACTACATCAACAACTAGATGCAAAAAGAGATTTAGAAGATACCAAATTCTAACATCAGCAACAATCATAAGATCTATTCTTCATAATAACAAAAAAAACTTCAAAGAACTTCAAAACTCACAACTAAAGGTGAGTGGGCCCATAACCTATTGAAGAAATAGAACTTTGAAGTTATAATATATAGTATCAACAAGGTTGTATACAAGGAGAGTATGGAGTAAGATGTCTCTCACTTCCAACAACCAATACTTATAGGTTATGGTTGCTACCCTACAAGACAACTTCCACTCATTGACTTTTACACACATGATCCTTGGTTCTAGGATCTTTTGGTATCTAATGTACCTCGAGGATATTTTATGGTCCTTGGATCCTTTGGCATCTTACTAACCACAAAGGTATCCTATGTCAAACACTAATTACTCTTATCTAGTCTTTGGATATTTCCTTGTTCATACTTTATCTTCTTGACTTTGACTCTTGGTCCTTGACTTTGTCCTATATCTATAGGATGCCCTTTCTATGCACCAAGAGTCAATCCTTTGACCATTAGCAACTTACCTAAGGTAATATCCTCTACAAGGTAATTTATTCTACTTTCATTTTTACTTCAACAATTAGTGATATTATTTGGTAACTGCAAACATATCTATCAAATGTAGATTTTTTATAACTTAAGTAATGTTTAGAAGTCTAATTAATTTAATTATGTGATTTTCAAATAAAGGATTTTTTACTATAATTAATTACTAAAAAGAAATAATTAAAAAATATAAAATAAATTATGAATAATATAAGATTCATTCAAATATTTTAAAATAAAATAAAATAAATTATGATTAACAATATGGTATGTGAATGTATTTTGTTTGAACATTTGTTTCTTTGAAGGCATCATTCTATATGCTTAAACTTTCAACCATCTTATTAAAACAAAAAGAACAATTATTAGACATCTACACCCACAACTATAGCACTTTATTATAGGCAATGTTACATATCAATCCAACAACTTGCCTCATGTTGTTTTCTAATGATACTTTAGTATATCCAATTTTTAACATTTTTTCTTGTGCTTTGTTAATTGTCATTGCATACACAATGTGCAACAAAATTGTTATAACATCAATGCAAAAATGTTGATTGGATTTATCCAAAAACAAAGTGATTTGTGGTATAAAACCAATGTGTCTAGCTTCTCTAGTTAAAAGTTCAGCTTATACAACCTTTCAATACTTTATTCACCTGTAAAGATGGAGTAAAGAGAGACCCCATAATAACTAATTTTATTCCTTGAAAACTTATACACAAGTGAGACTATATTCTATCATGTATATGTTCTAAAAACTATAAACTAGCAATTTTTTAAAAAATTTATGATTTTTTTATGCTGCATTGTATAATCACAAACATGATTGATATTCTACTAGTAATACATACTATTATTATCTTATTATTAACAAGTATTATTACTTACTAATGAACTCAATAAAACAAACACTATTTACACCCAAGAATTACTGGTCTTATTTCATTTAAATAAATCAAGTTTGCTCAAAGCCACCTTCATTACTACATGACCTTATTTATGAAAGCTGAATTGCACAAACAACAAACATGGAACACATCGCAAATGCTCTTTAAGGGTTTAGGTCGCCGATGCTTCCGAACCCTCGTGCTTCGGTATTTCCCGGTGTCGGTAACCCCGTTTTTTGTGGAAATCCTCAGTAAGCAGGATCGGGTGTCGGAGTCGGTGAGGTTTTCACCGAAGGTCGTCGATTGCAACCGTGAAACCCACGAAGGAATGGGCAGGCTCCCCGCTGTGCACATTTTGGCAGTAACATGCGGCTCTGGGATCCGGAGCTTCGGTGCTAGGTGTGCAATCTGAAAGTGGGTTCATTCGAAACTCTTCAAATTGATGTCGATTTGGGATTTTGAATCACAAATAGAGCTCTGTTTGTGTGGTGGATTGAAGGATGCGGAGTGCGGGATCCTTTGTTGTTTGTCATCTTGGATTCTAGTTGGAATGCTGATGGAACTGGTGTTTGCGGGTGGCTCAGAGTGTTAGGGTTTAGTGGTTCTGGGTGTAGTGGCGGAGTGGCACAATGAACAAACCAGGAAATCCAGGTGGACCAGGCGGAGGTGTGGGCAGTTTTGGTGCCGGGGGTGTAGCTGGCCCGACTGCCGCAGCGGCAGCGCAAGCAGCACAGAGGCAGCGGTCCCTTCTGCAAAGAGCAGATGCGGACATCGGAAGCTTATTGGATAACTTCTCGCATTTGTTGAAGGCTGCTCGGGTGAGAAGCTGATTGCCCTGTTTGCGCACAGTTTGATTGCGGAACCGCATATTTTGTCATCCTCAACTGTGTGATGCATTGAATTTGCTTCGGCATCTATTTCTTTTTTTCTACCTGTAAGTGTTGGTTGGAAATAAGTTGAATTGATCGCGTTGGATCGTTTTCATGTCCTTATTTTCGGATTAATTATGTTTTGGTTTTGTCTCAAGATGCTTGTAACCTTAGCGAGTTGCTGATAATCAGTGGATGCTTTAAGTTGTTGATCGGTGTTTTATTGATGTTTGCTGATAGATAAATGATCCGGTGAGGAATGGACAAGAAGCATTTCAGATGGAGGTCCACGCAGCTCGCGTAGTGAGTCTGTTACTCATCATCCCATGAATTTCTGAATTTTGGGTTGTCTTTGCATTATATATATATAAATATAACACATTTGATTGTCCGTGTTCACTCAAGTCTTATCCTCCGCTGTGCAGGTGCAGGCCGCAGATTCGTTACTTAAGCTGGTTTCGGAACTAAAACAGTCAGCTGTATTTTCAGACTTTTTGTCATTAAACCGGAGCATTAATCAACGGATTGTCAAGTTCGGAGAGCAAAGCCAAGATTCAGATAAACTCCTGTTCAACCTCGGAGATGAAATTGCTGCTTCTTTGCAGGAATTGGAGACTCATTACTACGCCTCTCCGTTCCGGTCATTAGAAGCTGATACAGAAATGCTCCAGCATCCGAGTAATGGAGTTGTCTAATAGACTAATTCCTTCCACAGGATGTCCCGGGAATTCTAGTTGGCCTTTCCTGGACGTTACTAGTAAATTTGTTCTTCTTGAGAGAATCCTCTGGTTTGTACTCCAAGTGCCATAAATTGCAATTTCTAGTGCTTCTTTTCGAAGTGTACTTCTCAATAAACTTGGTTTGAGCTAGACCTCAAACCCTACATCTGTTGCTTAGGCTGAATTCTGTACTGGTTCGTCATGCATTGGAGTGTAACATTGCCGCATGACAATGCTGAGATCGGCCAAGGTCGTCGTTCCTGGGCCCTTTTCATCGCTCAGTACATGATACCTCGTTTCTTATGGCAGCTCCTGTGCTCTCTGCTCTCCTGGATATCCGTGTGTGACGTCAACGAGGCCTCACAACGACTCAGGTGACCCCGCACCGAGAAACTAAATATCTGGCGTGATTGAGTGGATTGAAACTGCATTAATTTGCGAAATAGAGCTTTCTGTGACCTGGTCTTTTGTGTCTGGGCGTCGTGATGTGTGGAAAGCCAGATTACTCGCTCGGACCAGTTATTCAATATTTTCTGGCTTCTTAGTCACTTCACTGATGTTTTTCTTTCTAAGGAAAATGAATGCTTTGCTGTTGATCAATGAGCGTCGCCTTCATTTTGTGAACCTTCTATACGAAATCGAACCTTCCGAAATAGCTAACTTCCATGGTAAGCTTTGCCCCGACATGATCAACGTCTGAAGCGTTTTCGAAGGACAAGAGGACATATACACTTTCGATGGACCCCTCAAATTTGTATCCTAATGCTGTACCATGTTACAGCAATGGCTAGTTTAACGGTTTGAACATGTGAACATGTGAGCTTTCTCGACAGCGTCACGAATGCAGTGACGGCTTGAAACTTATGGGCTCGCACGGTTCCCACGCCATCTCGGATTCCGCATCTTCTGTGGCCGGACCCAGTACTCACTTCTGCCTGGAGTGGATTGCAATCCACCTCAACAATTAATGGCTTCGAGGATAAGGACGCACAGCAGGAAAATATGACACTTTGGATAACCTAGACTGGTATCCGGGGTTCATTAGTTCGATGAATCTGGGCGAGAGCTTGCAGCCTGGCCAGCCACTATGAGCCTGTGGGATTCCTGGAAATGCTCATGGGAAGGCCTCCTTACTTTTGGAAATTGCCAAAAATACATAAATTAGTTTATTTTCGGATCAAAATGTGATTTTATTTCCAAAACTCTTGGAATTTATAAAATGAGAGTAATTTCTCTATATTTAGACAGTAGGAAGCTTTAACAATACATCAAACTGTTTTGCATGCACAATGCCTTCTGGATAGATTTGTGAGGACAGTTTGGGATATATACTTCTCATGTCTTAAAATGGAGAATCACTTTTCATTGTTGCAATATTTGGAGAAGTAGAAGCAAATCCACCACGGAATTGCATTTAAAAAAAAAATCAATGGCCAGTAGTCGCCCAAGCTTATTAGAAATTCAAAGTTGTAATGTTTGAATAACCAGCGATGGTGAAAAGTATTGATTTGTTAGAATAAGCAGAAAGGAAAACAACAAATTGTTGGCTAAATAACTCAAGGTCAGCGTTGGTGAACAAAGTCTAAAGTCAAGTTAAATGCAGTTTATAGATTTCTACTAATTGACGCATGTTTAGCTTGATAAGTTGTGTTGGAATAACAAGAGGTAGTTCATCTCTAAGTGTATTCAATGAGTCTTGCTCAACAACAATTTTGGTTATGTCTTTATCCAGTACTTATTTAAGAAATGAAAACTTGCTGCCATTAGAGATATCCAATTAGAGCAATCAAGTTGTATAGAAATTGCTTGTCTAAAGCATTAGTAAAAATGTGTTGCATAATCAAATCTAGCTAATGCAAACTGCACCAAATTCAAAAAATTCCAAACAAAACAACACATTTAATTTAAGAACCAAGACTATTGATTTGACTAGTTATGCACTAGTCATTATCAATTTCCACACCAATTATTTCTTGTTTCCATATAGAGCAAAGTGCATCCATAAACACAATGACTGTAATAAACATAATTTTATTAATGTGTTTATTAGAAAGAGAAATGGAAAGAAAATAACAGTTTTACATATCTCTATTGTGATTGAACCAATAACACATACCTAGGTAAGACATACCTTATTGTGTTGAATTTTTCAATGCAATTTAGAATCCCCAAACCTTCAACATTATATTTGGTAGAATTTAGAAAGAAACTACATAAAAAGTCGGGGCATGATTTGAGGTAATTTTGGTATTAACATCTCATAAATAATTAAGGCCACAATGTAGCACTCCACAAGAGGTACTTTATACACAATTTAAAGTGGCAAAATGTCTTGATTATGATTTTATAACCACAAATTTTACCATTGTTGTTATCAACTTGCAATTAGAAGATACTAAGAGCACATTTATATGTCATATTTTCAGTGTCATTGGAATTATAAAAAAAAAATCTATAATAATGACTACAACAATTAATTTGTTTGAAAGAAATACAATAAGTTAATCTTTATCACAATGAGAGTCCAAAGTGCTCACAAACAAAGTGTCAATGATACAATAAAATAATTCTTTGTTTTTTTATTAGATATCAAATATTAATACTCTCCTATTTCTTCAGATACTACCTTCATAAATACAATTTGTAATTATCAGTTTTGAAGGAATCAAAATATTTAAAGTTGATTTTTGCCATACACTTGACCTCAATAACTTTTTCTTTACTAAAAGCAATGCAAACAACAAGCAACACTAAACACTTTCGAAGAAGCCACATCTTGAGCTATAATTATCAATCAAAGCTTCTTTATATGCTTTGCATTAAATTCTTGCTTACTTGGTGGAGGAACACTTTTAAATGCATCTATGTTTGCCTTGTAGACACTTTCTTTAATTTCTAAACTCTAAAGAAAAAATATAAAAACAACTAAAAATACAAGGTGTTGAAGAAAAAACTTTAAATCCAAGAAAATTCTGTAATTATACTTAATTTTTTGCATAAAATAATGTTTTGTCTTGTCAATTCTATAATACCAGGAGCAATAATTCAAGCCATTTAATGCTAAATACAAATTGTAGAAGAATTATTGAGCAATAATTCAAGCCATTTAACATTGATAGGCAACAAAGAATATTCTTTAATTGAAATAGTTGTAATAATTACACCTAGAAAAAAAAAAGTAAGTATTATATCTCAACTAGATACATCTAATAATAGCTCTCATACAATTTGAACTACAATTGCATACAATAAAGTTATTCTAAACAAAAATATTGCAAGATTGCTAGCTTTTGAGAGGAAGGAGGAGAGAAAAATAAATGTATCTAGAATGTCAAGAAAGAAAAGAAAAGAATTAAATTAATAAAAGACTTTGAAGATATACAATGAAAGTTGCCTAAGTTTATGTAGATACAATTTGTATATGTGGTATATGTAAATCTTCAAATGCTTTCAGTGTAAAGTTTTTAAAAAAAAATCAAGGTATTATAATGTTATACTTTGTTGTTTTTTAAGTACTTTTCTTTACAACTATTAAAGATATTAGTACCTTTTTTACATATGAGATAATTCTAGCATCTTCAAAGAGATACTTGTAAATTTTAACAAATTTGAGTTTTCACAACATACTAAAGAATAAGACTACTTATAAAATAATTAAGAGTTAAAATTAACATTTTGTTTGATGATGTAAGTCTTAAAAGTGCTCCAATGTTAAGCCTGAAAATTAATATAGTCTTGTTAGGAAGAATAAAATGCACATCAATTCATACAGAATAGTTGATATGAGCCTAAAGTTGCATGATATTGTTGTAAGCATAAAATTCAGCTGATCAATTATTTAAGAATTGTAGGAAATCTTTAGATAATTTATTTTGTAGTTTCAAGCAAGTCAAACCAAGGCTAAATTCTCAACTATCAAGTTATTCACAAGATTAATAGAGAAAATCAATTTATTTATACAATGTAAAGAAGACACATCAAATTTGAAGCTAATAAAAGTTAAATAGCAAGTCCTAAACCATTCTCAAATGCCAAAAAGACATCAAATTCTTGCACATATACAAGTTCTAACTACACCAATCTAATGTGTAGTAAAGTTAACGACAAAAATTATGGTCAAAGGAGAAATGATACAAGTTGCTTCTAAAAGAACTTGCATCTTTTACACTAATTCAAGAACATGCACAAGAGTATGAAGAGAAGATACTAAGAATGAGGACAAGACATTAAAGAGGAGGGGAATAAAATGAAGAAGAGGAGATATTGAGAGAATAAACAAAACTATGTTATTTCTTACCCTTATTTAAAATAAAATAAAAAATCTAGACTTTATATTTAATATTTTTGGAATTTTAGCAACTTTCTCCAAAAATTAAGATGTTTGCTTATAGGCCATGGATTTCTTTAGTCTCTGAAAGTACTAGTGGACGGTGTTGGGCGGAGCTTGCAACTTTAGTATCACATTTTTTTAATTTGTTTTTTTGGATGAGCAGATCCTTAGTTTAAGTTTTTTTTTTTTCCTCCATGGTTTATGGAGTAAAGAGTACTACCTTTGTCTTCACACAACGCATCTTTATGCACTATTTCAACAAAGTCTTTGAAGATATATGTGTGTTGCAAGTCTCTTTGCCAAACATGTTATTTCTTACCATGCTTTAATTTTTTTTTAATGATTGACAAGTTGACATGTGTTTATATTCTTTATTTTATTTCAATTAGACATTATTTTACTCTTCGTCAATTTAGGTAAAATACAAAAATTTCAATAGTATTGGAGATTAAAAACATAAGATAATCATTCACAAAAAAATATAAACATTTTTTTAACAAACATGGTTTTTTCAAGTATCACTGGCACTTTTGTCTAATAAATGATATTCATGACAAACTTTACCAAAGTATTAGTTCAAAATATGACTTAATCAGTAAGTACTATTCTAGTGCTTTACAGTGAATAAGTCGCATTACTTAATTGAAAAAATATTACACATGTTACTAAAGAAAATAAATAAAATAATAATTCATGAGTTGTAGTTCCTAATCAGAACTGTAATAAATATCTTACCTTAAATTGGATCAAAAGATTAAACAAGCATCCCAGTCCTACAAACAAAAACATTGAAGAACGTAATAAGATATTTGGTAACATACCATAAAGTGAAACACATTTGTGTTACACATGTTAACATCTACTTATATCAGGTTTTCAAAACACAAACACAATCATTTATAATTTTCCTTGTGATGACACTGTTTCTGATAGCTTTCCTGATAGTGGATGTGATAGCGGCACTCCCTGATCCCCGACAACGTCGACGTTGATCGATCGACTTGGCGGCCATCTCCAGGCCAAGCTCTAGCTCTCAAAAGAACGACCAATCTCATCACTAAGACACAAACACGATGAATTTTCTAGTTCAACTTGTCTAATTGATGGTTACTCGAAGATCACTGGGAGCCACATCATGCACACACTGTTTACGGCGTCGATGGTCAGCGATCCATCTTCACAGGAGGAGGTGGATCCGAGCGAGCACGACGCGGCAGCTCATCGTCTTGCGAGGATTTCGTCTCCAGCTTCGACTTGGGGGCTTTCTTCCATCCCACGAAGCCTGCCACTTTGATGGACCGGCTCTTCTTAGGTCTGTGGGGAAGGGATTTGCCCTCCGGCGCCGGGAGGCTGCAGGGTGGGTTTGGGCTGTCCACGCTCTCGGTCTCCGAGATCTCGTCGACGTCTGAGAGGGGTCGCTGACAGTGCCGCTCCTCGAGGAAGTGTGGGTGCATCTCCAGCGCGTGCACATGCGAACCGGTTTCAACCCTTGTGTCTGTCGCCCAGATGGAGGCAGAGTCGTTCGGGAGAGAGCTTGGCTCCTTCGAGATGCCGGTAATGACATCTTTGGGGCAGTGGCTAGATGCGATGGTGTTGAGTTGGAAGCCGCCGGGCCAGCCTGGAAGAGCGCAAGCTGAATCGCAGCTGGATCGCCTACTCTCCGCCAAATTTCCGTTGCTATGGTTGTGCTCGGAAACTGGGACAGTGGCAGGAGAGGTCTTCAGAAGCGTCTTCACTACGTCGCTGATGTCCGCATCGCGGTGCGGGATTGGAAGATTTCGCGCTTCGTCCACGATCTCGTAATCGTCTTTGGGCTCGAACACCGTATTTTCCTGCCCCGGCTGATGCTTCACGCTGAGCTTCTTCAGCAAGGTTCCCCACAGGCTCTTCGGTCTTTCGGCATTCTCGCCTTCTCTACTCATACGATCCTGAAGTGAGAGAATGCGTCAAGATAATGTTCGTGTTTGAGTGAACCGGGCATTCGAACTTTCTATCAACCTTTAAAAATACAGAGTTTCTGTAAATTTGAATATTGATCGTACCTGATGACTTGCAAGCTCCAGACTTTTACGCATGGCTGCCACACTTATGGAAGACAATGCTGGGGAGATCGTTTGAAGAGGTGCATCGCGGCCAGGAGAGGAGCGAGCGGATTCGACATCCTTGAACAACAAAACTTGAAGCCATTTGTCCAGGTTCGACTTTCCAATATCCTTCAGTTCCTCATCATCGGCGTCGGCGCTTTGGTGCTGCCTGGCATCGTTTCGTCTAACTTTGTCAAGATGCGTAGCCAGCACCTGCTCCATAAGCTCGTCAAGGTTTCCTTCTGACATCCACGGAGGACCGTCCGCCATAGCCTCCCCAGCTGCCTCCGACGTAGGTATCTGGAACCGAATTTGCTGAAGAAGCTCATCTAAGTACTGTTGCTTACTTAATGCCGCTGTATCTGCGTTGGCTTTAAAGCTGTCGGTTTGAACCATAATGACATCTTTCTGGACTTCTCGTTTGGAATCAGACCTTGACTCTCCTGCGCTTGGAACTGAAATATCTAAGGTCGGTTCTGCTACCGGGGATTGGCTATGCTCGAAGGCATCATATCCCGCCATGTCCAGAGCACGCAAACCTGGCTTCGAGTTTCGAGTACAAAAGTCACGAAGTTCAGACGTCGGTCCATCGTGAAACTGCGACAACTCGCTCACCAATACGTTATTATCTTTGCAGGCGCCATCACTAGAGAGGCGAATCGCAGGACTCATTTCGTCATCGGCAAAGTCACTATCGCTTCCACTTTCTGCCAGGTACGACATGCACATATCTTCACATAAGATGCACGCAACAAACATATCAAACGCGATCTGATATTGTTTCCTCTTAGGCAGTTGCAACATCTCACTCGGAGGATATGGATGGTGTACCTGGTGTTTCACTGCCGGCTTCGTACCGTTGGTGCGGTTGAGGCACATCCCCCCTCAACCTAGCTCCTGTTGTGGAATCTATAAAGAAGTCGGGGCAAGAAGTTTTGGCCTCAACGCCGGGTGGTGCCTCCCACGGCGACAAATCCATCGAATCTTTCGCATTTCCGACCTGCATCGCAACTGCAACGAACACTCAAATTCGCTGCTAGACGAAGCTCGTGGCTAGAACCCACTAGAAATCAGGCATATGATTTGAAAGGCCAAAACTAGAGTTAGACTATGGTGATTAGCAGTCACCTTTGATTGCATGTCTGACGAGTGACTTTCGTGCAGCAGCCTGCTGATACTCTCGTCGAAGATTATAAACCTCGTCTTCTCCCTCGTCGCCAGTATCACTTCCCGACAACTGGTTCGCTGTCATGACGAGCTTCTCCTCTTCTTCATCGTCCTCTTGGTCCGTTGCTCGAAGGGAGACGCAGCTGCTAACATCAACAATATCCCGCCCCTGCGTGACCAGTTTTTTCTGGACTAGAGTGGTGCGTTTGCTCCCGTTCACTCTAGCTGCTGCTGCTTCCAAAAGCTCCCTCTGCGCGTGTCGCTGGAGAAGGTCGCTTTCCATAGCTTCACACGAGGCCTTCTGGGAGTCAAGACAGGCGATGAGGACGTTGCATGCTTCTCGAGTCAACCTCGCCTGCTCCTTATAAGACATGGTCCTTCGAAAAATGACCAAAATTCACTCAGCGAACGGGAAGTGAAGATGTCCTCAACTTCATCAAGAACGGGCACCTAAACTAACTGACTTAACAAATCTAGCTCTAGCAGCCCCACCCCGCCGAACAACCCTCCGCAGTAGGGCAATCTTAAACAAAAGCTAAAAAAAGTCGGATGCTGCAAAACTTGAAACAAGAGCAATATTGGGAAATGAAACTTCGGGAATAGGTGAACGCCCCTGACGTATGTAAGAAATCCCTCGCCGGTATTTCTGCCCATCTTCCACAGACCTAAATTCCAACTAAATGACATCGAGGAGTATGTAGAAGTCGTAGCTCATTGCTCTCGTCTAAGTCCGTCTCTTGAACCCCTACTGCTATGGAAAGATATGATCGAAGCGGAATTGAGAAAGAATGAACTAAGTTGGAAGGGGATACGAAAGGATTTTCAAGGGTAGGAGGAGGAGGGAGGAGAGGCCGAGGGGGAGAGAGCATACTGATGCATAGTATCACGCAGCACTCGTTCCAAGCAGAGACGATAAGACGACTGGCTCTCAGCCCATTTCCGCTGTTTTTCCACACGGTGCTTTTGTTTCTTAAGCAAGGCCTCAAGTTCCAGAGACTTGATCCTCTCTTTCTCATTCTCAAGCTTCAACTTCATCACCGTCTCCTCCAATTGTGCCAGTTCTTCCTCCTTCTCTCGTTTCTCTTCTTCTCTCATAATCTTCACCCGGAGTTCCTGCACATCACCGCCGTCGATTGATAGATGGGAATTCGAAGGGTTGGATAGAAAGAAATGTGTACATTACGATTTCAGATGCTGTTTGTGGGTGTGTGTGTGCGTGTGATACCTTCTGCAATGCAGTAGTGGCTGCAGACTGGCGTCCTAAAAGGTCATTCCGGCCAGGTCCGTTGGATTCCCGCCCGAGGTTCCTTGACACCGCCCTCATCAACCGATACTGCACAACACAAAACACAACGACTTGCATGTCAAACTTGAAAAAGCACCTCATTCTAGTACAGGTGTAAGGATAGGACACCGATTCGAAAAAATCTTAACCTCCAGCAGATTAAGCTCACCTTCTCTTTTATCTGCACAGCACTTCGATTGGCAAGAGTGGAGTCGTCCTCTTTAATCTCTTTCCAGCTGCCGGGTCCGAACTTAATAACCCCTCGTTTCACGGCCTCCTCTTCTTCAGCAGACCAAAGTTGCGTGGGTGAACTTCCTGAAGTGGTAAGCAGACACGTGAGGGTTCACAAAGATTGGAAGGGCGAACAATGCACAATTTAAGAAGGAAGAGGAACGTAGATTGATGCTTCTGGAACCAGTACCTAAAATCGCACCAAAGGGATAGGTGCCCAAGATATGTGAACCATCGGAGCTCGTTGGAGCTTTAGATGATACGCTTGCAGCTTGACCTCCAGCTTCCGCATTGTCCTTTGAGACGTTTACTATGGCTGCTGCCGCCAAGCCACAGAGTGCCTTCTTCTCACGGAACTGCTGAGGCCATGGACGGCATTCGCCGACATGCTCTCTAGCCACAGATTCGTCCTCTCCTCCTTCAAAGAACAACGCGAACGACCGCTTCCTGCATAGATGCACGCTTCAATGTCTCAGAAACGGTCCGCAGATGAGGTACTAGATTGAAATTGGACTAAAAATTTCAATCTCAAGAAGAGAATTGTGCGCAAGTACCTGAAATCAGCATTCTTGGCAGCGAAGGCAGATAGGAATTGGTTTATGGAACACCCGTGCTGCAAATCCCACCACGGCACCAAAAACTCGAGGCGATTCCGTTTCCGCAAATATGCTTGCCATTGCACAATCCGAAGGTTTGGCAGTTTTGTCTTCCCTCCTCCTGAAACACCGAGCATGACAACCTACTTAAGGCCCGATCCAGCGAGAGCATCAAGCAAAATTTACTGCCAGTGACAGACTTAAGCACCGACAGTGCCCACGAAAGAAAGTAGGATTATGTGAATTTTTTTTTGGGTTCGAGTGGGCTTACGAGAACGAGGAAACCAATGATCAATGTCCCATGCGAGTGGCGACGAGGGGTCAGCATTCCAGTAAACTACATTTCCGTAAGGATCGACTCTGAATTTTGCCGGATCAAAGCCAGCATTCCTGCACTCCATTTTGATGGCTTTAGTTGCTAGGCTGTAATCTAAATCTGCTTCTGCTCTTTCACATGCAAATCACATTGGTACATACCCGAGGTGGTCAAGCTGCTGCCAAAGCTCCTCTGCAAATTTTTGAGCCGTCGAAGACTCCTTCTCCCTTTCGGCAAGAACTGGAAACACGGTATCCCATTCTTTCAAATGTTGAAACTGCTTCAACATCCAACATGCCCATTAGACTCTCAGGGGTTATGGGAGTTTGAAATTTGTTGCACAAAAGAGGCTGACTCATTCGACTGGGCATATCACACACGGTGGGTGACCTTACAATGGTCCCCGCGGATCCGTGGCTACGGCAAACAGGATAAAAAGTGCAGACTGAAGCTTACATCGTCCGCTTGGGGAGAGTAGGGCAGGAAGCGCTGCGGCGGGCCCTCAGTGAAAGGTAGAGGCAAACCAGTAGCGTGGGCATGGCGGCACAAATTGGGATACGCAGAAGGATACCCTAGCTGGGGATCCACTTCAGTGTCCTCCACCTGAAACGTCATCTCTTCCCCTCTACTAAGCTGCAGTACCTCTGTAGGCGAGGCACCTCAACGCCCAGCGCATAACCTCGGACAAAGCTCTTCAAGTTATAACGACGACGACAACAACGACGTGCCTCACCAGCAGCAACACGCCGGGCATGATCAGGGAGATAAGTGGAACGCACATGGTGAATCAAAACGAGAGGCTAGTTTTCGGTCAGCATTGGTTGCAACGACGACGATGACGACGACGCAAAATCTCTTGGCTCTCAGCGCTGCGGAAACAGACACCCTAGCTTGCTGACGCCAAATCACACAGGCACCTTTCAACGGTCACGGAAACCTCGACACACACACAAGGCCTAGCTCCCCGCTGCCACCACCAGAGTGCTGAAGCTAGACGACCTCGACTGTCCAAATCTGCAGAGCTCAAGAGGACACGCCAATCACTGCCACACTGTTGCTGCATGTCGGGCATTAACTGGCGCCTTCGTGAGAAACGTGAGCTGGATCAAGGGGGAGACGGAGACCGCATGCTCCATCGTCTGATGCACACCCTCCTCCTCATGAGACAGCCATTACTCACCCTTCAACGAACTCCCATAAAAGAAATTCACATCTCGTTCAAAACTCTCGCCTTTTGTGCATTTTTCCCATCATCCCAAAGCCACGGGGGTATTGATATCAAAACTGCAAGAATTGCGAGCTCGCTGGGGGCGGTGAGGAAGAGGCTCGTGCTGGCTTCTCGCTCTCTCTCTTACGTGTGCCAGCAACCTTTCTCATGCTTCTTCGTCCCTGAGCTTGTAGCGGTTTGTCTTGAAGCGGCGTCTGAGCTGTGGGATCCAAATCAGTGAGCATCGCCATAATCTGTCTACCTCTCAGCGGGACAGACTTGGATTGAATTCTTCGGGATCAGAGCCCCTTTCGCTCTCATTACTGAGCGCCATGTGAATGCATGAATTGGGTCTTTTTCCTTCACGTCCTGTGGAATGCAGCTCTTCGCAATCTTTGGCAGCCTGAGGAGTACTCTCTTCTTCATCACGCAATGGAATTCTCCTGATAAATCATGCCCTCCTTTAAATCCATTATTAATGGCTGTCTCTACCTTCACATGTATATATATATATATATATAGATATAGATATGTATTTCCATCCATCCAGCTGGAGAAAAGGAAGAAAATTAGAGATGTAGTTATCAGTTACACACAATCCATTTGGTGTCGGCAACTATCATGCACAGGGACGCCATCCATCTTCAATTTCAACACACTATTATTTTAGCGCCTCTCTCTGCACCCCAGCTTCCATTTTCTCTCTTTGTTTAATTCTGTTTTTTGAATCCCAGGGTCTTATTCTCCCAATGCTAACTCTGCCCTGGAAATTGGAAGTTGCTCCCCGAGGTTTGAATTTGTTTGACTTTGTTACTTATATTTTTTTGCTTTATTTTTTTTCTGTTGGAGTCAGGTGGGTTTGGGGATTATAGTTATTCCTATATATTTTCCTTTCTCTTTATTGTATTCCTTGCGTATTATTGAGTTTTTGCATTGATCTGAGTAGTGCATGTTGTTGCATACATACATACATATACATATATACATATCTAAAGATAAACATATCGTGAGCCCATGATTGCCAAATCAAAGACCCACACACATTGGACCAGTGCAGCATGTGAGATTATAATACCAGAGCTGTTGTGTCCTGGCTCCCAACTCTGGTATTGTAGTATATATTTTTTGGAAATTTTCACCACATTTAAGGAGTTTGATTTACCCAAAGGAATCTCAATCCAGCTGAATTATACACAGAAGTGTATGTGTGAGAGGAACAAATATATATATATATATATATATACAAAGTAGGTAGACATAATTGTTTGTGCAGCCTTCCTGTGTGGGTAATTAAACAATCCACTCACCTGATAAATTTCACCACTGCACAACTGAGTGAGACCAGACCTTCTCAAAGAATGTTCCAAACTGTGAGACCATCACCAAATCTACATATGTATGTGTATATTTATCTAACTAGCTACTTCTTTTTTTAGTTATAGATATATATATATATATATATCTATAGGGTATTGCTATTGCTACCATAGTTTTTGCTATTGCCATCCCAATCCCTCATCCACCACATGTAATCTTTCTTCAAAACCTTTCGATTTAAACAATTTTTTTTTTTCAATATCTTTCTATCCACTCGAAAGAAATTGTTAGGAATTTTAAACAATAAATAAATAAATAATGTTAAGTAGTTGGTGGGTTGTAATGGCAATAACAAAAACTATGATGGCATGAGCAGTCCTATAGTTTTTACCTCTGGTTTTCCCCATTAGTGTAAAAACAGAAATAAATATATAAACAATGCTGAAAAATAAAAGCAAATCCAAGATAAATGTCAACCATCATGAACAGCTCTGGTGGTGGGTGTGGTACCAAGCCTAAAACTTTGGATCCAGTCCAAGAGGGCCCACAAACAGATCATAACCTTTATTTTTTTATTTTTTTAAATATATATATAACATAACAAAACAAAACAAAACCAAAATTGAACTATGACTATTCTGCAAAGCTAATGAATAGAGAACGTGAGCTGAAAAAAGCAAAAGGATGAGAGATCTGACCACAAAGTGAAGAAAGAAAGGGAGGCATTCAATTCATTAACCAGGCTACGATCATGGATAGATGCCTCTCATCCATTGGACCCGGGTCTTTCCACATCCACGCTTATCATCCACATCCACCTCAGCTTCCAGCTCAGCATCCTTACTCGCAAGCAATGTCGACCCTGGGATTCGGAATCCTAGATCCAACGGACACAGATGCCCGTCAGACATTCTTCGATGCTTCATTCCTTCATCGAGGGCACCGGGCCGGGGACGGGCCGGGTCGGGGTGGGGGTTCTATTGCCTTGACCCCCCCGGAATCAAGGGCTGTCCATACAAAGATTATTAAACGGAAGTCGGATCAAATTTTGTTTAGCTACGTAATTTTGTAATTCATTTTGGAATTATGTAAAATTATTTTTCAATGATGATGTGTTGTATTGAACGTGAGTTTGAATACTGGTTGACATATCAAAATATTTTATTGTTACATGTAATGGATTGTTAGCATCTCATCACATGGACAATTTTTTATTATGTGGGTATCATAATGCTTCTTCATTTCATTTAATGAACTTGATTCTGTTCCAATAAAATACTCTCATTCCTATGTAGAAGAAGTTTACCAAAATCTTACTATTTTTAATCGTGGATTTTAGCTTATGTATGCTGTTTTAAGAGAGTTTGTTCAACACTCTGTTGGATACTTCCACAGAGCAGGATATGTTCAAAGGCAAATTTCAATTCTAGAATACAAGCAGCTTGTGGATAATGAAGAATATGCCCTAAGCCCTAAGCTTGTAAAATGCATTTCACTCAATTGTTAGTTTTACAGACTCCTGTTTATTCTTTTTTCTTTTTCTTCATTTAACCTTGTTCTGAAAAGTTTAAATGTTTTTTGTTTACAAGAATATCCAAATCGAGAAACAGAAACATGAATATGATTTTAGCGAGCTTTGTTGTACCATTTGCTGATTTCAAAGTTTTATTTTACTTTAAGTTATGCATAAAACCTTTTCTATGGATTCATGAATATATATCTATATTACCTATGTTTCATAGTACAAATTAGCTTCTCTATGATTACTACTATTTAAAATATTTTCCTGACACCAATGATACTTGCTTTTTTATCCAAAATGAGTTCTGAACAGTAAGAGTTGATAACATATATATATATATATATATATATAATTTAGTAATAACATGCAGAAAGACGAAATACTCTCTACAAAATAAATGTAGAAAGTACCCATCAATATGTACTATTTCAAAATCGATTTAAGATGGTTAAATCATCAAAATGCACACACAAATACATGCACATGTATGTATTCGTACACACACATGTATGTGTACATACAACAATCAAGATAGCACAAAAGTTAAGCATCCAAAATTTATAGGAAACAATCGAGAAGTGAGAGAACTTCAGACATGAATTAATTAGATCACATAATCAACGCCCTAAAAAGTGAAAAATATTTAGTGTGTACAGACAGGACCTGTCACCTGGTCGCAATACCCGAGATTTCATAATAAGCCTTTTGTCCTTTTGTCCTTTTGTGTTCTCTTCACAATATAATTTAATTTAGAAGAGCACATAAACTAATGTTGAAAAAAGGTACTTGCCAACTACCTTAAAAGTACGTAGATATCTTCCATTTCACATAAAGGATATCGTTATATCTTCATAAAACAATAGATACGTGGTTTTCTGAACATTATTTTAATACATGAACAACAAATAGTTTGTGGTGCCCCATCTCGAGGTGTAGTACGGCAAAGATCATGTGGTTTGTTTTAAAATAGTTACATTAAATATGAAAATGGTCTTCATCTTACTCTAGTTTTGAGTTTAGAGTATGCTAGTGGATAAGATTCTTAATTTATTATTAGATTTATTTATTTATCTATTTTTTTTGTTTGTGGGACATGTTCAAACCAATGAAGGAAGAGTTCAAATTCAATCTGAAAAGATCCAGAGTCAATCCTGTTCGAAAAAGAAGTGAAAAAATAGAGAAAATCAGTGAAAAGTTTCATTTAATTATTCAAGTATGTAAACCAACGGTAATGTGAGTGGGACTAATTGTGCCTCTGGCGAGACAAAAACTCAGAATATATGTTTTTTATTGGTTATTATAAACAAGTTTAGTCAGTTGAGTGTGAATGTTTTGCATTGTTGTATTTTTCAGGCATAAAATTTTACAAAAAGTGCATGACCAAAATTTTGCTTCTGTTAAGTCAAATGCCACTTGCAACTGGGTATATTTTTCACATTAAGCATTAATTTAATTCAGGTTTATATGGTTTTAAATTTCGTTTTTCAGAAAGAAAAGAAAAGGGAATGAAATATATATATATATATATATATATATATATATATATATCTTTATTGTCACTCACATGTGCATAATTTATAATTCTAACACAAAAAAATCATCATTTCATTGGAAATTAGAAGCCATCACAAGAATATTATTTGTATTATTATTTACTTTATAGTTACTTTATACAACAAATTAACACTTTGTAGAGTTTTTTATTTTATTTTATTGTTTTATTCTTTTTGAATAAATAAATTATATAAACATAAGCTACTCGAAAATATATATATATATATATATATATATATATATATATTTGAATATAGGACTAAATTATTGTGAATGTCTTAGATGAATAGAAGTGTAAATCAAAGATGTTTAGGTTAGTGTTGCTCAAAATAATAAATTATTGATCTATGAACATTGTTTAGGATATTAAAAAATTACATAGCTTAAAAAATGGTTTAATAAGTACTATTCCATATTTTAAAACATACAATGGATTGAAGTGTAATTGGAAATTTAAGGTCATTTTATTAGACACGTTTTTATAATACATAACAAAATTGAAGTACAAACAACAGAAATCTGTTTAGAAGTTTGACAATTAATTTGGATGCAATTTATACACTTCATTGATTTAGGCTAAAACATGCACAAGTGAATTACTTATACACATGGCACTTGATAAAGAATAAGTTTTGAAGAATAAATTTATACTAGTAATCTGTCCATTAAAAAGGAAGAGTTTTATGTCACAAGCAAAAAATAAAGAGATATACAAAGAACGTAAGCGAATCTCCTAATTTTCCAAGATTTTATTAACAGAATTAATCTTACCAACAAGGATATTAGATTGACTTGACAAGCATGAAGCATGGATAACAATTACATTTTATGTTGAATTCCCAAGGATTGATTCTAAATCCCAATAGAGAAAATGAAGTAATGTTTTCATTTACAACTACAAATCACAAAATTCCATTTTTATTTTGAATTTTACACACACACACACACACATATATATATATATATACAACAATTTAAATGTTTCTTTTCAAATTTTTCATTATTTTTAATCACAAATTTTCTTATTTTCAGTTAAATATTTATCACATAAATAATGTTATTGCCCTTTAAACATATTACTAAAGATATTTTACTAATATAAGCGAGAGAATGGCAAAAATTGGGTGAGAGAACAGCAAGAGCCTATCTATATATATGTGTATATATGAAATAAATATGAAATGTAAGGCAATGCTAATTTAATGTGAAAAATCAAAAGACAGCTTCCTGAGTGCATAAGAAATGTGCTGACATTCGGAAAGACATGACAGCACAAACCAGCAATCAAAATGTGTTGTGAGTAGAAACAAAAATATTAGACCATATAGTCTCGATTTGACATACAACCTCAAAAGTGTGTTTGTACAGTATAACTAAAAGTACGAAATTCACTATATCTAATTAGTTAATCCAGATATCAAACTTCATAATGATTTGTTCTCCCAAACTATGGTTTCTGAAGTTGATGGCAGAAGTTGTGAAAATTATTTTAAAGAAGTGTCCATAACTTTCGCTATCATGATCTAGAAAGGAATCTTACAGAAAATATTCCCCTCCACCTCAAGATGTACGCATCAGGCATCGAAATAACACATCCTCAGTACCATAACCAGTACATCACGGCAGCAAGCAAATGTGAAAACAGTCACTTCAGTAGCTTTACACCACAACCACCACCACCACAAAGGTGCAACAGAACAAATTCATATACTATCTAGGAATTCATTGAAACGTGGAATTTTTGAAGTCGAATTCTTAAAATATGTTGCACTTCACGACTACACCAACATGATGGTGTGTGCCAAGAGAAAATCTCTTAGACGTCTTTACAATATGAGGTTACAACTTCTCGTCACCAATGAGACAAGTGATCGTATCAACTTCTGAACGCCTTCACGTAATAAAGCTGACTAATTGTACACCATGTATTTGGGTGTCGCACTAAATTTCTGGTATCCTTTGATGACCTTGTTGACAGCTTCCAAAAAGTCCTTCTCTGTCACAGTCTTCCTGCGTGCACGAATGGCATACATACCTGCCTCTGTACACACACTCCGGATATCTGCTCCTGCAGATCAAGCACTTGCTTCAGTGACATGGTTTGAGATTTCACACTAGTGCTGATCAACTCACGATTCGACAACATTCTACAGTCGCCTGCATCATTCACGTTATCACCAAAGTTGCACTGGACACCACAATCAGACACCTATCATTTACTAAAGAACATGCATTTACGTCTATTATTTAATAAAGGACACGCAGTACTTGATCTTCATCAGAATGCTCTTAAACGAACATAAAATTGAAAGCCAACGTCAAATTCCGTGAAAAGCCAACTTCAACACATAGATGCATCCAGACCTAACCCAATGACGTAGATTAGAACCTGTTGAATTGGGGCAAAGGCGGGAAAGAAGCTCGAAACGAATGTCTCGCTCGGTATTCATGGTTCGCGTATGGATCTTGAAAATCTGGGTTCGGCTTTCCAGATCAGGCAACCCAAACTCTACCTTACGATCCAACCGACCTGGCCGTAGAAGCGCTGGATCTAGTGTATCAGGTCTGTAAAAAACCACATGTTCGTTTACAAGGCGAATGTTTGAGCTGTCTAAAATCGCTTGAATTACATTATTGATTTGATGGGTGTACAAACACCTCTGATAATTCTGACGCAACGTCCACAAACAGATCCTACACCAACTCCACAGAAGCAGAGCACCATTAACTTCAAGATAAATATGTCAGCGAGGGATTTTACCTATTCGTTGCCATCAATACTTTGATATTACCACGAGCATCGAAACCGTCAAGTTGATTGACGATTTCAAGCATTGTTCTTTGAACCTCATTATCACCCCCCAATCCATCGTCAAACCGAGCACCTCCAATAGCATCTACCTCATCAAAAAATACAATGCAGGCCTTCTTTGAACGAGCCATCTGCTCACAAGTAACATGGACAGGTTGCACCATGAGAATCATCAAAATACGTCACATGAAAACTAATGTTCATCTAAACAAATAAACAATAAATTAGCACCTAAAGAGAAGCAATGCGAAATATATTTTTAAGGCACAATAAAAATCACATGGATGAAAATTCTCTTCAGTCATCTACATGTCATCTGCAATTTTTACGCTTGGCGTAGCTTTTCTGGCAAATTCTCTTGGAATCCTCTTTAACGCCAACCCATCTTAAATCTGAAAGATGCGGAGAGATCACCATGTATCTTACCTGAAAAAGCTCACGAACCATGCGAGCTCCCTCTCCTACATATTTCTGAACAAGCTCACTGCCAATAACACGAATGAAGCATGCATCTGTCCTATTTGCAACAGCTCTAGCCAACAGAGTCTTCCCAGTACCGGGAGGACCGTAGCAAAGAACTCCTTTAGGTGGGTCGATTCCCAATTTTACGAACTTCTCCGGGTGCAACATAGGCAACTCCACTACCTATTCAGGACACCGAAGAATTATTAGACAGCAGCACCAAACGAAGCTGTGACGAGCAATATAAAATCATCATCGGCACTTCTCTACCTAATTACAATAACTTTTTAAAAATTAAAATATAACTACCAAAGGCAAATAGGGCATCAAACTCGCAATACAACATGCATAAGTATGTTGCTCGCCAAAAAGGACCAGAAACTTCACAAACCAAGCATTCAAATTACGAAAAAATAACAAGTTGGTTTCACTAACCTCACGCATCTTTTCTATTTGTTCCTTACAGCCTCCAATATCATTGTACGTAACATCTGGCTTTTCTTCTACTGTCATCATAGTGACACTCGGGTCAATCTTAGGTGGCAGCGGAATCTGGATTTGGTACTTGTTTCGGTCTACCCTGCACAGGTATATTATAACTAATAAAGTTAAGAAGCACATCCACTTTACCTAGCTAAAACAGTTACCACAACGTTAACAAAGAGATATAGTTGAGAGATGTATCAAAATCCTAATTTAACAAAAATAGCGCACCCATATGACAAAACGAAAAATCAGGACGACATACCCAACACGCATACCCTCCTCTATATCTGTTGGAGACACCTTCTCACCCAATCCAACAACAAACTGCCACACCAAATACACAAGCTTAATGATCATGTGCAGATGAACTAGCGATGAACAAGAATATCATGGCCGTGTTACCGGAGTCATGAACTAGAAATTATTTCAGCAAGTCATAATGAGATAAAACCAAAAGAATCCGAATGATGAATTGTAAAATAATACAGTGGATGCGCAAGCAGCTCCAGAAATTCAGCTCAAAGACTTTGAGACAATACTATGAATGCTCAAAGTTGAATTTGAAGAACACGATCCCAACATCAGCAGAAACAAAACGACCAAGCGATGAACTGTTTGGTCTTACAAAAACGGTATGATACCTTGGCAATCTGCTTCACGTTGATGACGTATTTGGAGTCATCCGTATTGGCGTTGATTATCTTTGTACACCTGGCAACCTGCCACAATTAATAAATTAAGTTATTACCACCCGTCTGCTAAATACGAGTAAGAAATGCACGAGATCATGTCGAGAAGTTTGACAACCTGGCTGGGATTAACTAACCTGCAATGGTTGTTCCTCTTGCATCATCTGCTTATCTGATACGAGATCCCACTGACTAGGCACTGCCAGCCCGGTGTCGGACTCTTTGATTCCTGCTCATGCCGTGACACAACTAACTCTTAGAAACTAAATGGAAAGAGAGGTAAGCGAAATGTCACACAATATTAGGACCATCAAACAGTTCCTACATACAGCTACAAGCACAGCCTACTGATCAATATCAGACATGTCATCGGAAAAATCGGCGAGAGTAACTAGAATGAGAGTGTTGTAGGCAATTTTCAACTAAATAGATTAAAAAACACATGGATTACATCAAGCATAAGACTGACCACAGTCTCCATAAATGAAATTAGATTCTTCTTCTTCTCATTATTATTATTATTATTATTATTTACTTATTTTCATTTCAACATACCGCACAAGTCGTTGACCTTCTTAGCCATCACTTTGATGTCCTTTTCAGTCCTCTTGATTAAATTTGCATATGGACCCAAGCCCTGCAGATGCAACCAAGTAGATCATTATTCATCAGGAAGGTAAAAAACCCCATATCTTTTGGACTGGTCGTTTCCAAAGAAGACTGAGACTGTCGACAGCCAAGTGAACCATAGTTACCAAGAAGATGTACAAGTCAGTCCTGTTCTATCCAAGTATTAGAGCTACCTCAGAATCGTTTCTACAGGCATAAGCATTCGGAAGTGTTTCAAGGAAAGGAAAAAAAAAAAAAAAAAAAAAAAAAAAAAAAAAAAACTGGGACTTCAGAAGTCTATTCGTACAAGATGTAGCCTCAAAAAGATTTTAGGGTTCCATAAAATAATTACAACCTGCAATTCTAAGTTAGAGCTAAACGGTTCACTGCCAAATTCTTGAAACTCTTCCATCCATCACGAATTCATCGTGACTTGCAGGTCACGTCCCGTGTGCAAATAAAGTTTCACAAACCATACAACGGCTATCAAACATGAATAGCGAAAAAAACAAAAAGGATCGAAAGAAACTATGAACAACTCAAGTCATACAACAAGAGCATGCCAAAATCAACCCGCTCCCGGTTCTCAAAACAGCACGAAATGCCGACATCCGATAACACTACCAAACTCCGCAAATCCCTGTCAAATGCGGATCCACAAGGGATTGTATACATAGCAATAATTCATTCTTCAATCTATTTCCAAAAACAGCTCGCAATACACCGCGACAAAACCACGTCCAAATCCACAAAAGACCTCGAATTCTCAATTCTTCGTCACCTTAGCTAACAATCCCAGAAAAAACGTGAAACAATTCCACATGCATACAAAGCAGTGCTCCGCGATTGAAGTAATCGACCAATTCGTTTCCACACGTAACCATATTTAACAGAAGACAAAAACGCAGAGATACAAATTCCACGCCCAAGACCGATCGAAAACGGCATCACACGACACGGAGCTCGCGTCAAGACCAAAAGCGCACTCACATAGGTTTTGAGCAGTGCGATGTCATCCTCATCGAGCGGGGGCGGGTTCTTCTCCTTGAGAAGATCGTCGGCGATGTCCGCCATGCTGCGCGGAGCTCGGCGAAACGGTGACGACACAGCGGAGGAGCGAGCGAGCGAGAGAGAGAGCGAGAGATCGAATTAGGGTTTTAGAGTGGACGGACTCTACCCCGCAAGTATTGAAGAATAGCTGCACTGCAAACAGACAGCCTCCCTTCCTTCCTTCCTTAGTTCTCACTAATGTGTCACTGAATCCACTCACTTACTCACGCTGACGACGACGACGACGATAGCGACGAAGGTGGTGACGAAGGTGTCAGTTGTGTTCGTTCGTCGTTCCCACTACATCGAAAAAACCATCCATTTCTTCATCCATTGGAAATGAATTGTTCTGTTCATCCTAATTTCGTTGTCGATCGCTTCGACGCCCAACGTCATGGATGTGTGTATAAGATGGGATTCGACCCGTTGGATGAAATAGAGGTTGTCGTCCATTTCCGAACAGAATGGCGCTTTGAGTTGGGCCCAAATGAATCACATGATTTAAAGTAAGAAAAAGGTTTCCCCTTTACTTGCACATTTTCATTCAAAATATATGGAAAAATGATTGATTGAATTAGTTTGGGATATATTTATTAAGAAACTCTTGCAATGAATGCAAATACACATGAATAAGAATCAAACTATGAAGAGTAACTGTTTCATAAATTACCGTGATAATAAATTATGAAGTTAAAAATCACTGGTGATGTGGCTTTCTTTCCACTAATGGGTAATGTTTTGGAAGAATATAGATTTACACATGCATTGCTAAGGTAAGAATGTGTGTTCTGGCCTATTTTTATAGCACTACACAATTTTTAGAGCCTATTTTTATACACTATTTTTATGCTTAATCAATTCACAACTTGAAAAGTTACTTCTAATGTGCTAAGAGCACATTTTCATGGTGTACGAGGATATGAATGGAATTTAGATTTTGTGAAGGAAAAGTTTGAAGATCTTCTCCACAAATAAAAAACACAGTATTAATTATATAATAGATGTGTGTGTATAATGTGGGAAACTTAGAGAACATGGGAACCATAAAATACATGGAAGTGTGGATGAATAAGAGAATGGATGGATGTGTTGAAGATTGCAATGCCCAATGGCAGCGGTTTGTGCTAGAAAACATAAATATGTACTAAATAAGAATTATGTTTGCCAATTATATTGAAGAAACATAAATGGTTCTATTGTTATATGTATATGTATATATATATATATATATATATAATGCAATTAACTATTAATATCCAGGTCCAGTTTCTTTAGCACATTAAACCTATTTTCAAGCTATAAAAAAATATAAAAAAATATAAAGTTAAGCTTTGTATGATTATATTAGTTCCAAATTAATTAATTTAAAAACATTTCTCTTAAAATATTACTCACTTTTTTAGTTTTCTGTTTATTTAAACCAATTTATTATTTTAAAATTTATAATAAAAAACTTCACGTCATTTTAAACATTATTTCTTAGATAATAAGAAAATATTCATTCAGTGATGGGTGTTATGCATCAATATTAGTACAAACAGGTATATCATGGAAAAAATTGCCAAATACATGATCTTCCTTACAATTAAACTTTCGTCACAATCTGTTTATTTTTATTGGATTGTAAAATATAATAGTAATAATAATAATAAAATTGGTGACCATTGTATAATTTTTTTGTTATAGAGCATTACATTGTTTCTTGTTGATTCCTAAAGTTGATATATAAGCCTTCTTCAAATCATAACAGATCCAAATGAATTGAAAGTGTAAACTTATGAAATAGAAACTTTCACTATTTCTGCAATCTTTAAAGAAAACTTTTGACCATGGCCACACAATCTTTGAAATGAAAAACTTTCGTAAATATTCCCCTGTTTGTATTACCAAGGGCATGTGTCACATGTCAATGGTCATCTCAGGAGTACTTTATTAAATTATTTTTTTATAAAAAAAATCTGAACATTTTAGTTTAGAACATGCCAAGTCTTGCAATATAGTCTCTTCTGAGAAATAATTTAAGAAAAACCAATGTAGCATCTTACAAACAAGGAACTGAATGTTTAGACAAATATTTTAGTGTGGAATGCAACATCAGCATTGAGGTTTGAATTCATTACATCATACTCCTGCCAACTGTGATTTAGCCATCATCTTTACTGCTATTTTTATGTTGAAATATAAATAATGTGTCATTGATTTTCATTTGTTTATCAAAAACTATTATTGTATTCATCATTATCCATACTTCTAAAATCTAAGCTATTTATTCATCTCATTCTTTTACATTTAATGTATTTTTAAATTTATGGTTTGCTTATCTAATAAATCAATTTTAAAAATTGATATGTAAATAATATAAATGACATAAGTTTCACAAAAGGTTACAACTAATATAATTTCTTTGCGTAAAAAGATATTGTGAATGATATCATCTTCTCTAAACAAATATAAGTCTTCCTCTTTTTCTACTTCTTCTTTTGGTTTGAAGAAAGCAACATTATTGGGCAAAGGGAGAGGGTATCATCAATGTACAAGAGGTGGGTATCAGAGCAAGAAAATGGGAAATCAAAGGAAGGACAAGCCTAACACCAAACAGGGCATAATGAGAAGCGTCCTACGTGGCAAAGGAAAGGGCAGGCCAAGTCAGCAGTGGGGGGTAATGAGTTGGCACCCTCCGCCACGCGAGCAAATTGGGAGGCTGGATAGCGAGCCGCCTCTCGCAGGACTGAGCAGAGCTAGAGACCGCATCCACAGTAGCGTGTTGTCCCGGACCACAAGCTCCATGGCACAACTATTCCAAGCGCATTACTCCTAATAGTAGTGCCTTCGAGGGAGCCCCATTGCTCACTGGTGCAGCATCCATGCTTGCGCTGCCCCCCTGCTTCTGCTTCTTCTTCTTCTTCTTCTACTACTGCTACATCCCCCCCCCCCCCCCCCCACTTTAGCTCTTCTGTGGTGCATTTGCTTTTCCTTTCAGGGACTGTTGGTGTCTCTGCGGATTTTCCTTGCTGATCCTCACCTCGTGCAGGCTCAGGCTCTTATGACCACCACCCTCAAGCCCACGGATCTTCACCCTTTCGTCTCTCGCGTCAGTGAGTGATCCAGTGAGTGGCTTCGGTTCGGCGCTTTCGTGGTTCTTGACAGTGTTACGTAATCGAGATTTGGCCTCGTGTGTTGCATGGTGTCCTGGCTGGGTGTAATGCATCGCTTTTTCTTCTTTTTGTTGTTGTAGCATGAATTAGGACGATCTTGTAAATTTGCGTGGTGAGGTTGTGAGTGAAGTTCGGTGGTAGGACTGTAGAGTCAGACTTCTTGCAGGAAAGGTATTTGGTGCTGTCTGAAAGATTGCACGCGCCTGGTGTCTGATTGGGTCACAATTCTGGGTACATATATCTACCAAGAGAGAGAGAGAGAGAGAGAGAGAGGGGGGAAAAAAAAGGAAAAAAAAGAAAAAAGAAAAAAAAGAGCAGGAAAACAAAAGAAGGGACAAAGCGTGTCGGAAGTACAGGGCACATAATTAATGATTGCGGGCAATGCTGAGGTGTGAATGGTTTCGATCACTGGCTAGGTGCACGTGCCCAGGTTTGATATTATCTCGATTCCATTGCGAGTCTGGTGCTCGTTTTTCATGTGTGATGGAGAGCATCTTTTTGACCGATCGCTTTTGTCTGCAGATCCAAAAATAGTAAATCTGTCCATAGAATATCCCCAAACTTTCGCAACCAGCTGGTGTCCGACTGTTGAGACGGCGCTTCCTGAAGCGTTACTCTGATCTCGAACATACTTCAATCTCGGTACCGAAGGCATTTCTAAGGACGAGTGTTGTCAACGTTTTCGTGAATTTGCGAAGAGTTAGCTTGGGAGAAATCGAGGATGGCTAGTTTCAACAGTGACCAGGAGAGAATCAGTGTTCCGAAGCTACACCATGGTTCCGACACCAACTCCAGTGCGCCAGGGCATGTGGCTAGCAAGGTGATTTACAAGCGCAGGAGAGTGTCAAGCCAAATGCCCATCACGATTCTGGAAACCAGCTCGCAGGAATTCAGAGGTGCAGTGCAGAAGCTAACTGGATTCCATCGTGCCACAATAACACCTCCACGCAAAACGTCGGAACTCAAGATTCCAAGCTGCGGAGAGGAGACCCATCTCCGCCATGTCGACTACGACGGCGACGACGGCGACTCTGTTGTCGATCCCCAGGAGCAGAACCTCCCGCACAGCATGCTCTCCGGCCAAACCTCGGAGCTTCTGGACGTCGAATTTTTCAAACAGTATTCACGAAGCAACAGAAACCTTAGGAGGCTCAACAATCATGACAACTGCGGCAAATTCGATACTTCGGCACCTATTGCACGAGGCGCTTGGTTTCCACCCTTCCCAAACTCGCATGAGAGCATGAAAGCGGCGTATCCTCCGCCCCTAGTCTCCAACGGCCTCCTCGTAGGTCACCCTTCCAGGACCACTAGGCCACCGCTTTGGGACGAAATCGACACCGACTTCCTGAGCTCCTTGGCCGAGCTTCAAGATCCTAGTCTACCTCCCAACCCCTACCTCATTGCGTTGGAGCAACACTTGCTGGCCAAAATGGCTAAGCGAATGCGATTCGCGGCCTCTAACTCTGTGGACCACAGGCACCCCATCGATGAGGGGTTAACTTGAGAAACCATGCGGCGCCATGCAAATCCTCTACATTCGGAGTTCTCCCTTGTTTTTGTCCTTCGTCGGCACGAGAAACTTCCATCGGCTGTAATCTCTAAAAGACATCGGTTGAACCGACGCTGCATGACTGTACACAAGGATGGAGTCTTAGCTTATCCAGGCATTGCATGCTTCGATCCAGCTGCCTTACAGATCCTCCAATCTCGAGTGCATAACAACACTGAATTAAACGATGCTTCAGTTCCGAAATCTCGGTTCAGCAGCGTATGATTCTTCCTTCTTTATTTCACTTAGCGTTCTCATCACACCCCAACGATCCACACACAGCTTGGTGTTTTATATAATGAAGAGTTCTGATCACTGGACATTATTCACTGTTGTGGTGTTCCATGAAGCGCATGTCTAGCATATATGTCGACGTCTTCGTGTAGACTCAGATTGTGGAGCTTCATGGAGAAGGCTTGACCGCCCTCTCTTCAACAAGAGCTGCTACAGTCCGTTCCAGAAGAGCTCTGCGGT